GTATGCAATTTATAGGGATGTGGGAGGGGGGGGGGGGAGGGAGAGTGTGCACTGTAAGGGGGTCTGGGCCACAGACTATATATATATATATATATATATATATATATATATATATATATATATATATATAGTACTTGAATTTTTTTAAATAATTTTTTTTTCATAAACAATTATTTTTTCACTAATGATATATATAAATATATATATATATATATATTTAAAAACCAGTTAATAAATATGATAGATCAAGCGATTTTCGTAAAATGTACTTCATTAGTCTTCAATAATTCAAATTCTGATCATTATTTTAATAAAGCTACAAAAATTAATTAGACAATAGTGAGATTGTTGTTAAGGGTTTGACTTGACGGGTTTGATAAAAATTATAATATATAATGAGTAGGGGTGCCATAAAAAGTATGAGCCATAAAAGGTATGTTACTAGGATGCATTGGATTGTTGGCTCAGATCTGTAGATACTTAAGAACTGTAACTCAATAAGCATTGGTATTCTTATTCCTCTGTTAGAAATAAATATTAATTTAGTATTATTAGCTCTTTTACTGAGACCTTTACTAGATTATTTTAAAGGTAAGGTGACTAAATAAACAGAAAATTCTCATGAGACTTAAATTATTTTTTACATGCTTATAATAATATGTATAATAATTATATAGTATTGAAGCAATTATGGATGCAGTGCATTTAAGTGTATGCTTGCCCTTACTGAAAATAAGAGATATCATGTTGTCCAAATTGGAAAGGTACTGGGCTGAAAGGTCTCTGATGCTGGAAGCCTATAAAGAGAGGCGTAACTAAAATAAATAAATAGGTATGTATGTAGCAATGTCCAATTTTTGTGAATTTTATAGATGAGTACACCTATCTGAAATAATTATTGAATTGTCAGAGTATAGAAATTAGAAATGCGATATCACTAACGCACCATAGGCACGAGCCTAAGTGTGCCAATCGCCAAACCATATTCAGGAAAAAGAGTCATTCTGTTGATTCGCAGAATTCGGCCGCCCCTGCTACAGGTAACCCACACTTCTTGCTCTACTTCGGCTAAATAAGGGCAACAGACAAACAAAAACAAAATCAGAAAATAATTAAAGCAAAAGGGAAAAAAATACTGATTAAGGCGAAATGACATGTGGGAGAGAATATGACAAATTAGTGGGAAAAGGATGTGGGTCAGTGTGAACTGGACCTGGATCGGGTGCCCATTACTCTTCTCTTCCCCGGCTTAATCGTTCCTTCAGGTGACACTTTAATAGCTCCCTCCAACGATCAATAAGTCTGTACTCATATAACATCAGTTTCGTAATGATCTGATTCCAGCTTCAACAGTGTCAATTCCTAAAAAGTTTTGAAACCTCTAACCGTATTTTCAAAAAATAATCTGAGAGAGAGAGAGTGAGAGAGAGAGAGAGAGAGAGAGAGAATTTGTAGTGAAATATATGTTATTTATTAATTATTTGAGTTTTGAAACCTCTAAATTACTTCAATGACTTTATTGTAGTTGACAAGTTTTTAAGTTCAAATTTAGCACCCATCAATTCTCCATGTAAATTTTCTTTAGTTTGATACCTCATTCTACATTACTACTAGTATTGCTCAAAATAGGTCTTGGCCTTGCAAGACTGGTAAAAAAAAAAAAATCGTTTTTGTGAATGAAAATTAAGGCAACCTAATTACTAATATTACAATTTTAGTTACTATATGTAAAGATATTGATATGACCAATATTCTTTTGCATTTGACTTTTTCAATTTTCATTCGGGCTTAGTTACGTTTCCTCTATCTCAAAAATTACAGTAATATCTCTATATTAATTGGCTAAAAGATAACTGCAAGACTCTTGGGCAAAGACCAAGAGCAAGACTCATCTTGGTCTTACATTTGGGCAACATTAATTACTACCGTAATATATATTATTGTAAATTATAATGAAGAATGTTTGATTGTGTAGATTTTTTTTTGTTTTGTTTTTTATAAGAAATATATATGTAAAAGTGTAATATTTTATTATGAAATACGAAGCAGAAACCTGGACCATGAAGGGGGAGTTTGAGAAGGAACTTCTGGCAACGGAAAAGGTTTACTGTTCTAATCGTGAAGAATATCTCTGATAGATAAAATGAAAAATGAAATACTTTTAGATCTTAAATAAAATATCATACTGCATGCTCAGAACATTAAAAGAGGAATATAAACAAATAGAATAATGGGTTAATATTGCTGAGAAGACGAAATTAATGTCATCCAATACTGATGACATAGAACTGATTCCTAGGGAGGTATTGGTAAGGGTTCAGCACTTCAAATACTTTGGTTCCACAATCGATTTAGATAGTTTCTGCGAAATGAAAATAAAAATAAGATCCACAGGAGGTAACATTTTATTATGAATTCTCAATTTAATATTATGGAGTAGAGATATCATTACAAAAACAAAAAGAAAAAATATATATGTGAAAGTGTAGTATTTTATTATGACATACGAAGCAGAAACCTGGACCACGAAGAGTGAGTTTGAGGAGGAACTTTTGGCAACGGTTTACTGTTGATACTCGTTAAGAATTCTTGGATAGATAAAATAAAAAATGAAATACTTAAAAAAAAAGATGAAGGCACAAACAAACTGTCTCAATGAAATCGAAGAAGTTTGTACTGACATTTATTTAAAAAGAATGTTAGAAGAGAGATTGCCAAATGAAGTTTATTTTTGGAAGAAGAAAACGTGGTAGGCCCAAAAAACGTGGAATAACATTTGAAAATTCTATGATGGATCATGATTTGTGAGAGGAATAGATTCTGGATAAAAGAATATGATATAAGTCCCTTGTTTCATGAAAAATAAATAAATGTATGACTACAAAGAACGGGTGGTGCTGGATAGAGATAGTGCAAAGGGATTTGGATGATGGATAAGGTTGTGGTGAAATTTGGAGAATTTTGCTAGGATAAGGACTGGTATAAATGGGATCGACTATTGTTCGAAGGACTTTGGATTGGAAGGATTGGATGCGTTTGATATTAGAAAATTTTCCTGATCCCCACAGTTCAAATCCGTAAGTCCAAATAGGTTTCAGTATTGTCTTGTAGATAAGTAATTTATTTTCAATAGAGAGTTTAGATTTTCTATTTAGTAGTATGCATAGCTGGCCGTATCGTCGGTTCCTGTCTTTAAAGTCTAGTGTAAAGTTTCCACGTTAGCTGTCGTCGGACTTAGCTGACGTTAGGAACTGCGTCGGAGCGTGAAGGTGGTGTGTTGGCATTTGGATTCATTTACTTTAATACGCCATTTATTACACCAGTACTCAATCAGGGAGAGGTGTCTTTGAAGGTTCATGGAAGCTATATTAGGATCTGAGGCGGGTGATAAAATGGCGATGTCATTAGCAAAAGTTGCCAGGAAGGTATCTGGATAGACAGGGATATCGGCGGTAAAGAGGATGTAAAGGACGGGACCCAATACGCTACCTTGAGAAACACCAGCCTCAATTGGATAGCAATTAGAAAATTCAGTGCCACAGCGAACTCGGAAGAAACGATCTGAAAAGTAGAAACGGAGGACAAAGTATAAGGACTGAGGAAGATGTATTTTAAGTTTGAAAACAAGCCCGGCGTGTCATACCCGGTCAAAAGCTTGAGCTGTGTCCAGAAATGCACCCGAGCAATATTGCTTGCTTTCTAGGGCTGCGGAAATATGATCGACCACTCGAAGTCCTTGTTGGACTGTGGAGTGTTGGGAACGGAATTCGAACTGGTGTGAACGAAGATTTTGAGATTCTATAAAGGGTAGGATTCTTTTCAGGAGGATTTTTTCAAAGTGGGAGGTTTGCCTGATTTTGGGAATAGGATAATAGTAGAATGTTTCCATAAAAGAGCAAAGTGGGTGGTTCGTAGGATGCTATTGTATATGTATGTAAGGAATATGACAGCTTTAGTAGGGAGTTGTCTAAGGATCTGAGAGGCAAGGAGGTCGTATCCAGGTGATTTGCGAGTAGGTAGTTTTTGTAAGTGGTATTAGACCTCAGAAGGATTAACTGCAGAAAGCTATTTAAAAAACTGAATAGTATCTCTATTTATGTTTTTACTATAAGACACTGTTTCAGCCCAATTATATGGACCATCAGGGAAGCTAAAATAGATTAGAGAAATATATAGATATAAAAAAAAAAATATGTACAACAAATAAAATAAAAATATTGGCAAAATAAAGTAAAACTGAAAATATGAACCAAAATCAAAACGAAAAAAAAAATGTCTCTAAAGTGCTCTCGATCAATCTCCGCTGGCTTTAGTACCAGTGATGCGGTTGAGAGAGTGGCGCAGGGTTCTCCTGGAGTTCAGCTTTTCTCTCCATAGTTAGAGAGACAAGCCTTCCTCGGAATTCCCTCGTCTGATTGTAAATAGTGTAGATAGGTACGCAAGTGTTTTTGCTTAGTTTTCATTTTCCAATTTTTAGATTATTTTATTTTATTTATTTTATATACTTTTTGATTATTATTTATTGTTATTTTTCTTATATTTTTTGTACATATAGTGTGAATGTTATCCAACCTCAATAAAACTAATGTCCATGTGACAGATTGTTGTAATACTCAGTAAATAAAGAAAAAAAATATTTATATGGATTTCGAACGGCTCATTTTGAAGATATGAAATTGTTATCGATTTGGTAAGAGTATATAGCCAATGTTGGTAAATAACATATTAATAATAATAATACTTTATTTATTCTGGGAGGAGTCCCTTTAAAATAATACAGAAGGACAGAAATGTGGGTTAAGGAGCCTCAGAGATACATAAAAAAAAATGCTGAGTAATTAAATAGTCATAATAATAAGATTATAAGTAACTTTCTAACTTAATTCAGTTAATAATAAAAAATTGAAAATAAAGTAAAAATAATAAAATACGATCTAATAATTTATGTACACATTTACAGTGGTATCTATTTACAATTTTATGGGGACTGCATGGATAAGAAATAATCGACCAGGCGGGATTTAAAGGGAGGAAGGGTATTGGATTGACGGATATGGGAATATATAATACAAGATATTAAAATAATATATTATTTATTTAGTTAGTATTACTTCGAAGACAAGAGAAGAATATCCTATACATTAGAACTAAACGTGACAAAGAAAATATGTTTTTATGAGGGTCAACAGGCTTAATGCAACGGAAGTGATCCCCAATTTGTTCCTAGGTGTAGATAATCCATGCTTGAGGCTCAACGAAAGATCTATATTTGTAGTTGGTACGATAGAATACATTTGTAATTAAGTTGGCAGATGCTATGAACAGCACTGACAGGTGAGACATTTCCTAAGGAATTTTCTGCAGCCATTAGCCTCTCGCCGTCTTGTATTTAGACCTGAAAAAGAAATATAAATTGATACTGGATTATAATTACAATTAATAACAATAAACCATAACAATATATACATAATAACAATAAATATATTGCTACGTTTTGGGGTGTTGAATTTTGTTATTGTGATAATTACTGATGATAATTACCCAGAAATGTTTAATATGAATCAATAATACAAAATTAGTAAAATAAATTTGGATTTAAAATATATTGATTGTTCCAGAATTAATGAATTGGATTTCTTTTCTCAAATGCTGGTTAGTGTTTATCATGCTTTATAATTACTAACATTACCTGTAATCGTCATGATATAAATAGGTGGCAGAATTATAATATCTTTTACTAAAAAACTTAATTTATTTCTATGTTCACTAAAAAATATATACAAATTATATTTACAAGAAACTGAATACGTCATTCAATGAATTCAGATGAACTGTTTTGAGAATTATTGTCATGAAATATTTTAACATTAGGATTGGGAATTGCATCTTAGTTTTGCCTATGAAGTGGTGTGCTTGGTAGATTTCATCGCTGCATCTGCTAATCCGAAGTCATCTTGTCAAGCCCAGGTCCAAAAACTTCTGACGCTACTTACGTTTCCAAGGTCGGGAAAAATACCTTAGCCCTCTCTTAAAGGCCAGAAACGAACATTAGACCTATTTTCTTACTTCTCGGAAGATTTTATAGAAATATTCAGGATGGGGCACGGATTTTCATTGGTTCTTAACTTCACCCTATTACTTCACAATAACTAGTAACACCCTAAAATAAACCAGTTACTTAGCCCGTTACTAGTTTTTACTCTATGCCTTCCCCAGGGTCCAGGTATAGTAGTCTGTGGGCCAGACCCCCTAACCGTGCACCCCCCCCCCCACATCCCTATAAATTGCATATCGTTGTGTTCCTTGTAACTATTTATTAAAAAAAAGCCAATGTTCCCACAAAAAAAAGTGAACGCACTGCCCCAAAATGGCGTCCAAACATGGCGGATTGACGACTTTGACTTTAGTTAGTTTTGTGGTCACTGAGAATTAGCATTTGGCTTAATTTCCTCTTAGTTGGTCTTTTATTAAAGCTGAATAGTCATAGAATAATAAACCATGAAGAAATATTAAAAAATAATTGGCTTAGGCTATGAAAAACACCAATAAAGTCAATTTTTTTAACAAAAAAATTTTCAAGTTAAAAATCAAGCGTCATTTGTAATTAAACCGCCTACAATAACGCAAAACGTGATGAAATAAACCATCTGGAGAATATATTTCTCTTTCCAAAACGCTGATTATTTTTAAAAAACTTTTAAGCAGTTCCGTAGAAAATGCACTTATGCGGCAGAAAAGCGGTACTGGCGTGGGTGCTTACAGGCCTCTACCACGCCATTCAGTACACATAAATGGCTTAGTTAAAGTGATATAATAACATTTTTGGTACATTATATTGATTGTATTAACGAACAAATATTAATGCAATAATTTAATTGTAAAAAAAAAAAAATTAATTTTTTTTTAAAAATTTATTATTATTTTTTTTTAATTTAACCTTCTTTATTCTAGACGTAGGTCGTTTAAGAAGACCTTAATTGTAAAAATGATATAATTATATTAATAAAACTTAATTAAAAAACTTTGCTAAATATCTTGATTTTTTTTTTATTTAACGTTTGCAATTTAACACTGTGTTTTGTGTATTTACTGACTCTTAAAGGTAATTAAAATTTTTATATACTTCCCAGGAAATGAGTCGTATTAATACCTGTTTTATAAACTAAAATATATATACCTAATCTGAACTATATATAATGAATAGCTGCTGGGTTGTATAGTAAAACTCATATATCACTAATTAAAAAATTAATTTTTATTTCCTTTATTTTATGCAGAAGTTGGACTATATCATAAATAAATAGGAAATTTTATTATTGAATGAATTATTCTCTCTGCACAAAGAAAGATAGAAACGGTGACGCTATAAATTATTCTATAAAGCAGAAGTGATTGTTTGGATTTGGTCTTGAAATGAGGAAAAACGCGAAATTGAACCCGAAAACTGGAAAAATACATTAAGCGAACGAGAAAGGAAGTGCCAACACCTCGGAAAAGATAAAAAGTACCAGTATCCATTATATAGCTAAATGAATGTATAGTAGACAGATGAAGAGAATATTTCAAGATGTTGCTAAAAGGGGGTCAATTGCAGTTTGTATGATATTAAGTGAACGATGTAGGTTTATTATGGTAAAAACCACTTTATTTTCGATTGCTGAAGGTGCACACTGGGACTATCTTCACTTTGAAGCAGGATATAGAGAGTTATATCGAGAAAGTTATAGCTCATATCTCTCCTTCTGTTTCATGAATTTGCAAAAGATTTTTTAAGGAATCTAAAAGAAAAACGAGCGTTTCTGAAAGACAATTAGATATTAGCACAATCCAAAGAGTAAGGCACTAAGCAGATAGATAGCTATTTTTCGTTGTATATAGACTTCTCTATAACCTGCCTTAAAGTGAAGCCAGTCTCAATTTTCAACTTCTCTTCCAATGTGCAACTTGAGTTTCTCAATCCATATCGCGCTGTCAATCGACAATATTTCTTATTCCAACTTCTACAATTCTTGAGTATAATTTCTTTTGTACACTAAACAGGAATGGATCTTGATGGGTATTACATTTCCTAGTATCTCCTTTCTTGTAAGGATAAAAACCAAAGTCCTTTAATATTATTTTCTAACATACTTGTTGCCTATGTATGCGCTAAACTGTGCGAAGCAGTTCGGTTTCGCCCTTTCCATCTTTCTTTGTGCAGAGAGAATAATGCATTCAATATTAAAATTTTCTATTTTTTTATGATATGGTACAACTTCCGAACAAGTTATTTCGCAATTTCTGAACAATATCGAGCTATAACTTATATAAGATTCCTTAAAAAATCTTTTGCAAATGCATTAAACAGAAGGAGAGATATGAGCTATAACTTTCTCGATATAACTCTCTATATCCTGCTTCAAAGTGAAGATAGTCCCAGTGTGCACCTTCAGCAATCGAAAATAAAGTGGTTTTTACCATAATAAACCTACATCGTTCACTTAATATCATACAAACTGCAATTGACCCCCTTTTAGCAGCATCTTGAAATATTCTCTTCATCTGTCTACTATACATTCGTTTAGCCATATAATGGATACTGGTACTTTTTATCTTTTCCGAGGTTTTGGCACTTCCTTTCTCGTTCGCTTAATGTATTTTTCCAGTTTTCGGGTTCAATTTCGCGTTTTTCCTCATTTCAAGACCAAATCCAAACAATCAGTTCTGCTTTATAGAATAATTTATAGCGTCACCGTTTCTATCTTTCTTTGTGCAGAGAGAATAATTCATTCAATAATAAAATTTCCTATTTATTTATGATATAGTCCAACTTCTGCACAAAATAAAGGAAATAAAAATTAATTTTTTAATTAGTGATATATGAGTTTTACTATACAACCCAGCAGCTATTCATTATATATAGTTCAGATTAGGTATATATATTTTAGTTTATAAAACAGGTATTAATACGACTCATTTCCTGGGAAGTATATAAAAATTTTAATTACCTTTAAGAATCAGTAAATATACAAAACACAGTGTTAAATTGCAAACGTTAAATAAAAAAAAAAATCAAGATATTTAGCAAAGTTTTTTAATTAAGTTTTATTAATATAATTATATCATTTTTACAATTAAGGTCTTCTTAAACGACCTACGTCTAGAATAAAGAAGGTTAAATTAAAAAAAAATAATAATAAATTTTTTTAAAAAAAATTAATTTTTTTTTTTTTACAATTAAATTATTGCATTAATATTTGTTCGTTAATACAATCAATATAATGTACCAAAAATGTTATTATATCACTTTAACTAAGCCATTTATGTGTACTGAATGGCGTGGTAGAGGCCTGTAAGCACCCACGCCAGTACCGCTTTTCTGCCGCATAAGTGCATTTTCTACGGAACTGCTTAAAAGTTTTTTAAAAATAATCAGCGTTTTGGAAAGAGAAATATATTCTCCAGATGGTTTATTTCAGCACGTTTTGCGTTATTGTAGGCGGTTTAATTACAAATGACGCTTGATTTTTAACTTGAAAATTTTTTTGTTAAAAAAATTGACTTTATTGGTGTTTTTCATAGCCTAAGCCAATTATTTTTTAATATTTCTTCATGGTTTATTATTCTATGACTATTCAGCTTTAATAAAAGACCAACTAAGAGGAAATTAAGCCAAATGCTAATTCTCAGTGACCACAAAACTAACTAAAGTCAAAGTCGTCAATCCGCCATGTTTGGACGCCATTTTGGGGCAGTGCGTTCACTTTTTTTTGTGGGAACATTGGCTTTTTTTTAATAAATAGTTACAAGGAACACAACGATATGCAATTTATAGGGATGTGGGGGGGGTGCACGGTAAGGGGGTCTGGCCCACCGTGTATAGGTCCTTAACTACGTACTCTCCCCCCTGACGCTGTTTTGGATGCCAGAAGTCAGTTTCATTCAACTTAGTTTTCGACAGATAATTTTAAAAATATATTTGCTATGATCAATACATAACAATATATATATTAGCGGTTAGTCCGAGGTACAGATCTCTTCTTATCAAATTATTAACATCCATCCAAAACTTCGTGAATGGTTTCATCTCAAAAATTAATTTAATGAGGTATCAAAAATCTATGAATGCTCATTTTCGTTCCACTTGAATCGTAAAATAATTTGTTCATATTATAATCTACTTCCTCTTTATAGCTTAAACATTGTAAGGTTGTTTTTACAGAGCTAGGGCCAGGTGAACCTTTCTCGTACCAGTTCTCTTCTCCTGTTTCATCCCAACTCTTGATCCTGGAACGAATCCGCACACTTTCCTTCCAGGAGATTGGGGGTCTTCCTCTCGAGCTTCTCCTCTCCACGAGCCTTTATATGTCTTCCTTTTTTATCTGCTGCTATCCATATGTAAAAGGTGCGCATACCATCTTAACTTATGTTCAAGTGTAATGGTTTCGACCGTTTTGACGTAGAGATTGGAATGGTTGTATTGCGAATTCTGTCCCGCCTAGTCTTTTCCTGCTCCATTCGCAGGCATCACATATCTAGAGCCTGAATCTGTCTTCTGTACTTCAAACTGAATGTTCAGGACTCAGAAGAATACGTCAGAATAAGAAGGAACACTAGTCTGCAGACCGTCATCTTATTTTTCTTGGTTACCACTTTTCGGTGGATGAAGCCTCTCCTAACCGAGCAGAACATCCTTCTGCTGCTTCACCTCCTCGTCAATAAATCCATTTTGATGAGCTGAGTACGTAAATATTTAAAATTTTCTACTCCAAACTATCACCTTCGATCTTCAAAACCTTCACAACCTTTGAGGTTTTCTTCCAATGCGCATACATTTTTTCTTCTCGTTTTTTTTTCCATATAAAAAATTCTCAATTCTTTGCTAATATTGCTCTGGAGGTCACGGTCATTCTGGGCCAATATGTCGAGGTCGTCCGCAAACGCCAGCAGAGAGTAAAGAGTAGGCTGCAGATTCTTGAGACCCAACTGAGAACTCCAAATTTTCTCTCCTGCGCTCCCCAACACTACATCGAGAATCAGTACGGAATAAAGAGGGCTCAGGCTGCCCACAGATGTAAGTTCTGTATTTTTTAGAACTATCGAGAATTATAAAATGGAATCGATTTAAAGTATAAAATACATTATAATATTACCAGGGAATAATAGAAGTGGGGCAAGTAAAAAATTACTTTTTTCCATAAAACTGATACAAGTTTACATATTAGTTTGAGTTTTAATTTTAAATGCCACCAGACTTAATGGGGTTTCGTTTATTAATTTACTGAAATTGGGACAGAAATAATCAATGATTTCCTTGTTTTATCCAAACAAAATAATTATATCGATGTTTATATCTTATCTAGGCACACGAAATTGATTTTATAAAACAAAGATTAATTTTTGCAAATAAATATTATGTTTTTATTTCTTTTTGGTTTAAGATATGTATACGACTTTAAAAATCGATGTCAGTTGGACCAAGAAATCGTCCGGACATTCATGCAGGAAAAGATATGTAGTGTTTATATATTTTATTGATACCGGATGTAACAAAATCCATCATTTTTTTCTATGCCTAATATTTTGGTTACCTTGCCACTGAGTCCCCTTGTTTAGTGATGCGATTTTTGGCTTCATATAAATAACTGAAGGACCATGCTCATCTGTAAGGGATGATTTCTCTGGAAAATAAACACAACATTGCTGTAATGTAATTTTAGTAATAAAGACATTAATAATATTTACCAGTAGGTTTCTGTACCGAAAACAACATTAAAATAAATAAAACATAAGCTAAATGTATGTATATATTTTTTATGCGAAATTCTAGTAAGACTTATTATGCTAACAATTAGGCTTAATCTAATATACATTTTAGGTCTGGAGCGGAAATATAGGATGCGAAATTGTAATTCAAATTCGGTATTTTTTAATAAATGATATGGTGGGTCTCGGAAAACATTGAATGTGATCGACAAACGGAGAATAAAAAGTAAATAAAAAAATAAGGAATACTTTTTTCTTTGATCTATAAAGAATCCACTTGATATCTATTGTCTATTGATACCTTAATCCAAGCATTATATTTTTAATAAACACGAAGTTGCTAAATGCGAATGCCAATCACTTTCATTAATATGCATGACAGAGCGTTACATCTCCTATTAGAAGTCTATCCTGAATATAGCTTCCATTACTAAATTAGTGAACCATGAAAACAAACAAATAACCTTCACAATTATAACCAAGGAAGGATCTTTTTTTCATTATTTGATAAGCAAATATTATCCTTGCTTTAATGATCTTGCCAACATTCAGTTCAACCATGAGAATTATCCTCTCCCCGACTCATTGAAGCATCAGGTGTACACTTTAAGAGGTTAGATGTCTTTAGGAAGGTCTCCTGACCCCAGAATCGATCCAAAGCTCACTTGACAAAATGAATTATTATGTGTCACAGTCAGATTCGAACCCGGGCTGGGTATTACTCGCTGAGCTAATAACTCCAACTACCCTGTTATACTCTAAACAATATCCATATGTTTTAATTATTTTAGAAGGAATGTACATCATGTGATTTGATTGCAGTTGTTGTATTCAATGTACCGTTATGCTTGGGTTAAAAATAAAAGTGTGTTCTATTCTAACTTGTTTCCATTCCTAAGTATATTAGTCTAGTCAAATTATCAAGACCCGGATCCTCGATTGCTCCGCACCTTCAGATCATCCCCATGTAGAATACCTCTTAGTAGAAATTCTCAGTAATACTTCTCCTATCCTTTACGCCGTGGAATATCGCCCTCCTCTCGTGCCATTTGACCCGTCCTTCGAATCAACCCTATTCAACTTCGTTCCCCTCTATCCCAGAATAATTATCTCCGGTGACCTCAATATCAATTTCCTCTCAAACTCCAATGACAAATCCTATTTAGAAAATCTGTTTTTCTCACTTCACCTATTCATCGTTCCTTTTCCCTCAACCCACCACACCAGCAGATCTGACACTTGGCTAGACTTCTACATCATCGACTCAGCACAAAACCTCCTCTCCGCCTCTCAATTGCCAGTATCCTTTCTTTCATCTCACGATCTGAAACAAATAACATATAATATCCGCACTCCTCCAATCCATCCTCGAACTATCACTTTCCGCCAACTGGATACCCTTACTCGAGAAAAAATATTACCTGATCTAGCAACATTGGATTTGAATGGAATATATCATTGATCCTCTGTCGACACCATGGTTGATATTCTCACCACTAATCTTCTCAATATACTCAATACCCACGCTCCTCTCAAAACCTCCACCTTCCGTCATCGCCCTGCTCCTTGGATGTGTCAGGAAATTAAGGATCTGCAGAAGAGACGCGACGCTGCACGCAGAAGCTTTAGACGGACTAGGCTTGCAGATGATTATCAAACATTCAGAGTGCTTCGTAACACGACACAGACAAGGATCCGACAAGCGAAAGCGAACTACTTTCATGAAGCCCTTTCCTCAGCTCCTGATATCAAATCAAAATGGCTTCTACTTCGTAAGCTTTCCCTCTGTGAACCTTCTAGATCCCCTTTCTCAGTTTTCCCAACATCACCTGATGACCTAAACTCCCACTTTATATCGGTTTCCACCTCTTCTTTACCCTCCTCTTCCGGCTTTTCTCCAGAGGTACCTTTTAACGACAATAATTTTTATTTTTCCGACATTTCTCCCACAGACCTTATTACCGTTATAATGAAATCCCCCTCCCGTTCCAATTCCGTAGGCCCAGATGGCATTCCTACCAAACTAATAAAATTATGTCTCCCTGAAATCCTCCCAGCACTCCTTTTCATCTACAATTTCTCCCTGCAGAATTCAATATTCCCGACCTCTTGGAAAAAAGCCATTGCCCTTCCTTTAAACAAAAATCCTAATCCATCCTCCCCGAAGATTTCCGCCCAATATCAATCCTTTCCAATCTTTCTAAACCCCTAGAAAGGTCAGTGCAATCCCAAGTTTCTAACTTCTTTGAACAATCCAACCAACTCGATCCTCTCCAATCTGGCTTCCGTCCTGGCTACTCTACACAATCTGCTCTGATTAAAATTACCAGTGATATTCAGACTACAATAGATGACAAAAAACTAACCATACTTATACTTCTTGATTTCTTCAAAGCTTTCGATTCCATTATCCATTCCATCCTTTTCAACAAATTAAAATCATTATCCTACTCCAATAGTTCTATCTCTTGGTTCCAGTCTTTTCTCTCACAACGAACCCAAGCAGTTTCCATACCTAATCAACCTCTATCTGCCTACCTTCCTTTATCCTCTGGAGTTGCACAGGGTTCAAGCATGTCTCCTCTTCTTTTCAGCTCTTATATTAATGACCTAAATGATTCAATTATCCATTGTTCCCACCACCTTTATGCCGACGATTCTAAAATCTATTTATCCTTTTCTCCCGCTGAGTTATTGGTGGCATTTGCCAAAATTCAAGAAGATTTAGATCGGATTAGTGCCTGGGCCAACTTAAATGGATTAAGGCTAAATGCTGCCAAAACTCAGGCCATTCTCATTGGTTCCAAGCCCCTTCTTAGATCCCACACCAACTTTCTCTCACTCTATCTAAACAACCCCATCACCTTCTATCCCTTTGTTAAAAATTTAGGCTTCCTCATAGATCAAACCCTTTCCTGGAATCACCATATCTCTCATATATCCCGCCGTGCAATTTCTACCCTCAAACTATTCCATCACTTCCGCCATCTTCTACCCCAAAATACCCGTAGACTTCTAGTTTCCTCTCTCATCTTTCCCCACTTTGACTACAGCTATGTGGTGTACGATGGCCTCTCGGTGGAACTCCGTGATAGACTCAAAAGACTTATGAATAGCTTCGTAAGATTTGTAATTGGGACCCCGAGACGCTCCCGTGTCTCCCACCACTACACTGAGTTAGGGTGGCTCTTCTCCTCCTTAAGAATATTTCCTAGGCACTTTCCTTTATCAAATCGTTACCGATCATCGTCCTTCTTATGCCTACAACCTTCTCCAATTTAAGTCCTCAATCCATTCCCTCACTACAAGATCCCGACCCTCTGACCTATACATCCCTTCTCATAGATCTGCCTCATTCCAAAATTCCTTTATAGCCCGCTCTGTCAACTTTTGGAATTTCCTCCCGATCAAAATTCGACATGCTCCTTCTTCCCTATACACATTCAAAAACCTCCTATTCCAATTCCTGTTTCAAAAACAGTCAGATACCAGCTAACTATTAATATTATATATGTATTGTGTAGCAATCATATAATCATAATACTTGGTAAGAGATAGTACATGCATTTCCAACTATCGACGTAGGAATTTCAATACAAACATTTTTTTTATTTTATTCAATTATAATTAACTGTTTATTTTTATATATACATTCAAGTAAAATTTTTTTATTTTATTTTATGAAATGAACTCATTGTATCTCTTTTTCGTTCTTCATTTCTCAAAGTGTATGTTTATGTTGTTCAACCCTTAAATATAATTTTGTTCATAGTTCAAGTGATCCGTTCATAGTTTTAATTGTTTTGTTCATAATTTTAAATGCTCTGTACATAGTTTTATCTGTATTGTATATAACTTGTGCACCTAAGGTTTTCTTTACTTTTTTTTTATTTTATCAATTTTATTTATTGTTTCAAACGTTTAGGCCAGTATTCTATTATTTTGTACATTATTGTTATTCTGAAGGGACTTAGTCCCAGAATAAAGTTTTTTTTTCTAACTAAAAAAAAAAGAAAAAAAAAAAATAGCACAAACAAAGGGATCTAGCTTGCAAAAGATCGGGTAATTCAAAATTCTTTTTTATATTGTTAGATATGCAGTTAGTGACGGGGTTGAGAGAGTAGCACAGAGATCTCTTATAATCCTGCTTTTCCTTCTATAGTTGGACGAAGAAGCCTGGCTTTGGTTTCCGTGCCTAATTGTATATATTTTATATAGGTATGAATGTGTTTCTATGTTTTTGATTTACTTATCTTTAGGATATTTTATTTTTTTATTGTACATAGTTTTTTTATTATTATTTTAGTTTTGTTAATTTTGTATTTTCTGTATATATCGTGTGATTGTGTTCATTTATCACTATAATTATTGTCCACGAGACAGAATTTATATATCTAAATAAATAAATTTAAAAATATATATATATATTATATGCAGTGACTATAGAAAATTAAAGTTTCCTTCCTTGAAAGTCTTGTGCGTTCGCTGCAGTGCTCCAAAAACCATTGAAATTTCGAACTTGTTTTGGTTTATGCTAAATATCTTCTTTTTAAAGCAACATAAATGAAAAATGGTTATACTCAATCATAAACCGCATAAAATTATTTAACATTTTGTATATAACATTTTCTTCTAAGCCCAACAGGAAGTGAACTATCGAGCTTTCAAAATAGGTAAAACTATGAAGAAGAAAAAAATTGACAATTAAATTATTGTATTAATACTTGTTCGTTAATAGAATCAATTCTTAACGTACTGTAACTATGTTATTTATTAGTAGTTCATGATATGGCACAAGACTCTAGGACCCATATGCCAGTGGCGCTTTTCCACTGATCAAGTTTTTTCTAAGTAACTGCTTCAAATATTTTAAAAAGTAGTCATTGTTTTAGAAAGGGAATTTTTTTTTCCAGATGTTTTATTTCTCGGCATTTTATTTACAAAAGACGCCTGATTTTCAACAAATTTTCAAACTTGAATTTACAGGTGTTTTTATTGCCCAGACCAATTATTTTTTTTATATTTTATTATTCTCTAACGATCCAGCATTAATAAAAGAACAATCATGGTGAAATTAAGCCAAATGGCTGAATCTTAGTGACCGAAAAACAAGTCAAAGACGCCAATCTGCTATGTTTGAACGCCATTTTGTGACAGTGCGGCCACTTTTTATGAGGACAAAAAATTTTTTTTTATAAATAGTTACAATAAACACAACCACATGCAGTTTATTGGGATATGGAGGAATAGTTCATGTTAGGAGGATCTTGCCCACCGTGTAACATATTTTTCAAAACAATTCTCGACTACCATGTACCGTTCCAGTCAATGGCTCATCTTCAAGGAAAACCTCCAAATTATCTGAACGAGCTTCAAAATTGAGGTACAGAATTCTTCCGTTCAATACTGAAAGAGCATTATTGTGAAGAAATCGAATGGATAAATTTTGAAAGCTCGATAATTTGCTTTCTGTTGGATTTAAAAAAATATGTTATGTACAAAAATGCAAGATATTTATCTACATTGCTCTAAAAATGAAATATTTAACATAGCAACAAATTACGTTTAACCTTGGTGAAGAAACATGTCACTTGTCCACCTAGAGAAATACCACAAACTTTTGGAGTACCTATGGCAGAGAACAAAGAAGATCAGCAGCAAATCCATCCTGAGCCACGGCATGAACATCCCCAGTCCCAGCCTGAGAGTCCAATAGATCTAGAACCTCTACTGTGAAGGTCAACACGAGCGATGTCGCATTTACATGATTATGAGCTCCAGATTTTATTGAACATAATTTTGTTTTTCTTTTTTATACTTTCATTTATTTATCCACACCTGTCAATTACAACTATCCACAATCAGCAGATATGCTGGCATAGTCATGAGAAAAAAAAATAACAATAAAAAAATAAATAAAAAGGCTTGATAGGCATGAGGAAATGCAATATCCAGCGGTCCCCCTTCCATGGTTTTTATTTACTAAAATATCATTTAAGTAGATCCCTCATCCAGACTCTTTTCAGTCGTCTTCTGGAGTTCTCGGGCATACTGGCAACCTCATTTTAGTGAGAGAGACTGTTATACCCTGAACAATAACCACATGTTTTAATTTTATTCGAATGAATGAACATCACATGATTTAATTAATTGCAGTAATATTCAATGTACTGTTATGGTCGAGTTAAAAATAACAGTGCGTTCTATTCAAACATGATTCCATTTTTAAGTTAATCCCCTCAAGTCACAACATACCCCACTCCAAATCATCAAAACAAGGTTTTAGCTCTGTCTGAATCTAGTTCAGTTAAGTGGTTTACCCACTACTGAGCGGTAAATTTTACCTATTTAACAAGTGGTACAGCTTATAATATCGAATTGAAAAGTTAATTAGTAATGAACTAGAAAAATTATAATTAAATGATTATCAAATTAGAAGCTACTAACTAATACAAACATTTGAATTGTCACCTTCTTTATCAACTTGCGCTGATACTTCTTTATCTAAAAATCTTACGGTGGACTTGACTCTCTTTCTTTCAGTCTGCAAGATCCCCCGTTTCGGTTCGGGCACTAAGTCCTCGTCTCCAAGCCAGTTATTCTTCACTTACAAAAATTTTAAAAGCTAACATTAAATGTTAAGGAATTTATTTCATTATTTATTATCTAACATATCACTTCAATTAATGTATTGTTACTTTTCGTAATGCCAATGTACCCAAGAAAGCTTAATAATTAACAAATTCTTCATAAAAAGACTTAAATAAATTTGTCCAGAAAGGAAAGACTATATCCAAATCATAACGTATACCTTAACCAGATATAAAATAAAGAAATAAATCCATTAGAAGTAATAAGTTAAATAAGCCAAAACTTAGGTGTCGGGAATGGGACACCGGGCTTATGCAACTGTGGCTTATGAAAATAAACTGTTTCAATTATCATACATACAAATCGATATATTTTTTATTTTTATTTATTTATATGATATTTACAACTGTATACAAAAAATACATCTGGTAAATTCGCACATGGATATAATGACATGAAACACATGTTGAGAAACTACCCATTGGTAGCACTCTAACAATATGTCTATATTAGGATTTCACGTGGCCATATTCTTTCCAGACGCCTCGGAGGATTATCAGGAATCGAATAGGAAGCAAGGTTAGAAACAAGAGGGTTGGGATGGATATGAAGTTTATTATGGAAGGACAGATATCTGGATTGGGCCAAATCTGATACATAAGGAACATTAAGGTCATTATGGATGATTTTATTTGTAACAAAGTAAGGAGCATTGAGGATTTTACGAAGGATTTTGGATTGTAAGGATTGGATGCGAGAGGAATTTGAAGGTTTGGTGGAGCCCCATAGCTCAAAAATCGATATATAAAGCCAAATTATGACACGCGGATAGCTGTCACTATTTTAACCTACCCACAATTCAATTAAAACCTTAACACATAGTCGTACCTTGATGAATTAAATTAATTTGTGTTACATAATTGTTAACTCAAAATTATAATTTTCAATTCAAATTTAATTAGTAAACATTTGTTCATGAAGGTGAAACTTAATGTAAACTATAAAATATTTGCTGTATTAAACTCGTTCTGAATATATAAGACCTTAACTGCAGTGGTGGTGCCTAGAAGAGGGTGATATTGTACAAACTACGCCGTCAGAATTTTCGGGGTAAGTATATTTTTATGAAGTTTTGATATTTTAAGCGGGATATATTTAGGCTTAGTCAAAAATTGTTGGAGAGAACCATGTTTTTGTTTGGTGGTTTCAATCTGGAGGAATTTTGAAACTATAAAGTAAGGGAAGAAATATAGAACAGATTAGATCAAGTCTAATTGCATATTAACTACAGGTTTTATAATTCTACTTCCACTTTTGGCAACTCCTGTACTGTGAGTACATATCCGAGCCCAGAGACATATCTTTATGTTCGTGGTGCCCGAGTATGTTAAAGCTTATAATTTCGGGGTAAAGAGCAGAGTAACAAGTGTAAAAGGGCCGAGCGGGCTAACACGTTTGCAAAACATACGTTGTCCAGCAACCTGATGATTCGAAATTTATATAATAAAATAATTACGATTTCGCATCCCAATGAATAGGGGCGGATTTTTAACTCTGGCATTCATCCCTTACCCCCTATCCTGGACCGGGTAAAAACCGTATAGCCTAAAAGGCGAGGAAGGGATGGACAAAAAAAATAAACTTCTCGAGTCTAGCGACGCCAATCCAAATCCGGCCAGGGCGGATCAAACTATATTTCGTGGCGGACCTCGGATTGAATCTCGACCTGCCCATTCTGGATAAAACAGGTTTGGTTGTAGTTCTAATTAAAGCTTAAAATTTTAAAGCATGGTGTTTCTTTCTAACTCTTAGAGAATATTAGAGTAATAAGAAAATTGGCTTATCTCACAAATTGAATTCCATTCCACAATTGGGTATCTTTTAAAAATTTGCAGTATGCCGCAAGGTAATACTTTCTGATTGAACCTTAGAAATCCTCGACATCTTCCGGTGAGCTGATTCCCCATAATATACTATAATAATAATAATAATAATAATAATAATAATAAATAATGACCTTTTCTAGAAAGATCGACGGCAATAGAGGCAGCTCCTCCAGAAGAAGAAGACAAAGGCATTGACAAACTAGTGGAATCATTATTATCCCAGCATGTGATTTATGAGGGGATACCGCTTGATGTTAGACCAATCCTCTCAAAGATTCCCTATAGCTTCAAATCACGTTTGACTGTGAATCGGGTTAATGAGGCTCTGAGTAGAATTATTGTAGATTACCCAGAAATGACTGTCGAAGCTGTTTGTCATTGGACCTATGTTGCAGCTAGGGTCATTATTATTGAACTTGGCTTGGAAAAACAAGGAAAAAAGAAAGATAAAAATCATACAAAACTTCCACGCTGGCAGAGAAGATTGGAAAATAAAATAGCGTCGCTCAGGGCAAATATTGGAGTCATAACGAGTTATATCAGGAACCCCGTTGCAGCAAGTACAAAAGTAAAACGAAAAATCGACGAAATAGTTGTACTACAAATAGGGGTGGTGTTAGAATCTGAGCTCACCGAAAAACTGGCTTTACATGCTGATATACTGAAGCAAAAACTTGCAGTTTATGCAAACAGAATACGAAGATATAAAAAGTCGTTACTTCGAAAACAGCAGAACAAAATGTTCAAAAACAGTGAGCAGCAGTTTTATCGGAGCTTAGGTAATGATAATAAGGGAGGTGCAAATTGTTCATTAACTGACAATATTATAGAGTATTGGAAAGAGCTTTGGGAGCACAATGTAGAGCATAATAATGAAAACGAATGGTTAAAATTAGTAAATACTGAACTTCAGGAGAAACCTCAAATGCCAGAATTCGACATCTCGAAAGAGGATGTAATCATCGCTACAAAGAAAATGAAAAACTGGAAAGCGCCGGGTAGTGATAGAATTCAGAATTACTGGTTAAAGAATCTATCCTACCTGCATGAAACACTTGCAATGAATTATAAAAAAATGATAACAGGGCAGATAGACATTCCCAAAACGTTTTGTGAGGGCGTTACTGTGCTGATTCCCAAAAAAGTAGGAGATCGATTGGACCCCCAAGATTTTCGGCCAATCACTTGCCTCAACGGTGTGTATAAGATTTTAACATCCATTCTCACAAGTAAAATTGAATTTCACTTGCAAACCAATAATTTGATTCCACTCGAGCAACTTGGCTGTAGAAAAGGAGCCCAAGGGTGTAAAGAACTTTTGCTCATCGATTCATTCATTGCAGGCCAGACGACCATGAATAAAAGAAATTTGTCAATAGCCTGGGTTGATTACAAAAAAGCATTTGACTCAGTTCCTCATAGTTGGCTTATAAAAGTACTGGATTTATATAAAATACATCCTTATATTAAAGAACTTCTGAGGAAATTGATGGACAACTGGAAAACAAGACTGAGAATAGGAGATAAGCAATCACCTGAATACATTACCATTTCAAGAGGTATATACCAGGGAGACTGCCTCAGCCCCCTTTGGTTTTGTCTTGCGATGGCTCCATTGTCAATTTTATTAAATCGTGAAGAAAATGGATACAAAGTAAAATTTAATGAATTAAGTGCAATGATCAGTCATAGCTTTTATATGGACGATTTAAAACTCTACGCAAAGAATAAATCCCAGCTCCAGTCTATGCTAAAGACAGTCAGCCACTTTAGTGACTCCATACAGATGTCCCTTGGGACTGAGAAATGCGCAGTTCTTCACGTTATAAAAGGAAAACCGAATAATTCCGAAAACTTGTTTAATGAAGAATATCATATTAAGAACCTTCAGAAAGAAGATATGTATAAATATCTAGGAATAGAACAGCATTTAAAAATAGCTAGAAAGGATGTAAAATGTAAATTGATAGGTTCATTTAAAAAAAGACTAAAGATCATCCTTAGAACACATCTTTCTTCAGGTTTAATGATAAAAGCTATAAATACATGGGTTATTCCTTCCTTATCTTACAGCTTTGGAATTCTAAAATGGTCCACAACGTCGCTCCAGGAATTGGATAGGTTAATAAGAACAAGTATGACGGGTTCCAGAATGCACCACCCGACTGCATCTATGGCAAGGCTTTACCTGCCAAGAAAGGAAGGAGGGAGAGGTCTTACAAATATTGAAGAATCTTGTCGAAACCAAGAAAAGAACCTAAGGGAGTACTTTAAACAAAGCGCAGTGCCGTGCCATAAGATAATCTGCAATCTCGATCGCGGGCACACTGCTCTACAATTAGCCTCTCATGAAACTGCGCCAATCTTTGTTACCGACAAAGACCGCATGGAAGAATGGAAGTCAAAAGCATTACATGGAAGGTTTTTTCACCAGCTTCAGCAGACTGAAATAGATAAATCTTTGTCTATTAGCTGGCTGGTTGGAGGAAGTCTGTTCCCCGAGACTGAAGGTTTTTTAACTGCAATCCAGGACCAGGTTATAGCTACCAGATCCTACTGGCGACACGTCTTGAAGCAACAGAATGTATCGGACAAATGTAGGTTCTGTGCAAGCACATATGAATCCATTCAACACATAACTGGAGGCTGCGGAGCTCTTGCAGGTACAGAATACCTAAAAAGACATGACGATGTTGCCAAAGTCTATCACCAGGCGATTGGTCTAAAAATTAAATTATTAAACGACTCGAAGCCCTACTATAAATATTGCCCTAAAAGTATTTGCCAGAAAGATGACTTAAAATTATATTGGAACCAATCGTTCATAACAGACCATCTCGTGATCCACAACAGACCTGATATTGTATTAATTGACGGTAATATTAAGGTGGCTGAAATTATAGATATCGCTGTGCCAAATGACGGAAACATTAACTCAGTCTGTGCAGAAAAAAATCGGAAATATCAAGGTCTAGCAAATGAGTTAAAAAGTTTGTATAAACTTAATAAAGTAACCGTTAGGGGCATTGTGATCTCCAGCAATGGCCTGATACCGGTGTCTACTGTGGAAGCTACTGACAGGCTGGGCCTCCCAACTCATGTAATAAAGGAAGCTCAGAAAGCGGTGCTGCTGAATACTGCCAGAATTGTAAGAAGCTTTCTCAACATTCAATAGTAATTAAAATTGAACATACCTGAGGTGGTTGGAGTTGATTCTCCCCCTCTCAAGTAAACAAAAAAAAACCTTTTGTAAAAGTGTTGACAAATAAAATAATAATAATAGAAGGCTTAGCGAACCCGAAGGTTCGATGCCGACCCCATCAATACCGACACCACTTATTATACACCTCCCTCCACCGTTCGCCGTCCAAACCCAGTCCCTTGAGATCGGCTTTGATGCAATCTTCCCACCTTCGCTTCGGTCAACCCCTCAGACGTTTACCATTCGGCACAGCAAATATTAACCTTTTAGGAATTCTCTCGTTACTAAGCCCAACAAATCCATTTGATTCGCCGCGATGAAATTACCTCAATTATATTACCCGGATACAGTTCACGCAATTCGACGTTGTGTAACAGTCTGAACTCTCCGGTTCCGAATATCCTTCCGGTTCCGAACATCCTTCTTCGGTCCGAATATTTTACGCAATACTTTATTTTCAAAAACCTTAAGACGCTGCTCATCCCTTAATGTAAGCGGCCAAGTTTCGCATCCAAGCATTATCATACCAAGCATTATCAGGATAGCCCAGGACGGATGTTGTCCCACCCAGATCCAACAACCCTTTCTCGGTACGCATTACATCCCTAATGGCATGTTCTAATGCCAAATTGAACAGGAGAGGCGAAAGGGAATCCCCCTGTTTTAAATCCGAACGAACCTCAAATTTTTCGGACAGATTATTACTGATTATAACTTTATTGAGTGTCTCCATCAAGATTACTGACCAGATTTACTAGTTTTTTTTTGGAATCCCCTGCTCGATTAGAATATTATACAGTTTCTGGCGGTCAATAGAATCGTAAGCCTTTTTAAAATCTATATACAGCTGGTGAACAATACCGTTGTACTCCATTTTTTTCTCTAAAATTTGCCGTAAAGAAAATATTTGATCAATAGTCGAACGATTCCGTCTAAATCCGCATTGGTAGTCTCCTATAATTTCCTCGGCGTATTCCGTGATTCGACTGGTTAAGATTAAAGTGAATATTTTATAACATACCGGAAGGAGTGAAATTCCTCATACCACAAATACCATGACATAATAAACACACATAAATACATATGTGACGCGACGTCCCGTTACCGAAACTGGGCCTCCTCCAAGAGCCTCCGCCAGTTGGCTATGTCTTCTGTTGCAGCTTTCCGTACGCCAAGCAGGATTCTAGCATCATAGGCCACGCTGTCCAGCCATCTCGTCCTCGGCATTCCTACCCGTCTTGCGAGGTGCAGCTCCTCCATCATTACTTTCTTGGGTATTTCAAATCCGCTCATTCTGGCCACATACCCTGCCTACATTATTCTGGCAAGTTTAATGTTGGTAAGTACGTCGGTCTCTGTATGAAGAGAATTGAGCTCCCTATTTTTTCTTTTCCTCCAGACATCACCCTTTACTGGACCATAGAGCCTTCATCTCATTCTTCGTCATCGTCCAGGCCTATGAACCATATATCTCTAAGAAGAACAAGCTGATTACATAAAATCCACCTCACCATCAATTCTCATATGCATGGTTTTCTTCTCGTTGAGTTCTAGACCAAGTTGTCTTGCAGCTGCTTCAAGGGCTGTAAAAGTTTCTCTTAAAGACCGTTCAGAGCTTCCTATGATATCAATATCACCAGCAAAACCATGAAGGTGTATCAGGTGATTGAAGATTATGTCACTGGTCTGAGTACAGGTATCTCTAACAGCTTTTTCCTCTACCAAGTTGAATAATAGACAGGCGAGGGCGTCCCCTTGCCGTACCCCACTGTTCACTTCAAACTCCTCATTAGTCATCTTGCTTATGAACCTTTTAGGGATGCATTGACTTAATTTATAGTAAAGAGTAATCCAGTGCCGGCCTCAAGGGCCTTAGGCGTTAGGCCTGGGCAATTGCCCCAGGGCGCCGACCAGTAAGTAGTGTTACTCAAAATTAGTCTCGGTCTTGCACTTTGCAAGACCAACACCAAGACTGCTTCAAAAAAATCATTATTGTGAATAAAAATTAAGGCAAAATAGTTACTTAATTACGAAACAATTTTAGTTACTATATGTAAAGAATTGGTATGACCAATATACTTTTGCATTTTACTCTTCTAATTTTTCATTCGTGGTTAAATAGGTTTCCCCTATCTGGACAATTACAGTAATATCCCAATAGTAATAGGCTAATAGGTAACAGCATGACTGATGCGAGAATCTTGCGCAAGACCATGACCAAGACCAAGACTGAGTGCGCAAGACCAAGATTTGTCTTGTTCTCGCATTTGGGCAAAACTAACTGTAAGGACCAGTTAGGGGCACTGTTCTTCAGGAGCGAGCGCTTGTTAGAAATTTAAAACATAAAAAATATATATAAAACATAATAAAATAATTATTGTATAATTGTATTATATATATAATGTAGCCTAGCAAAAAATTCAAATGTTTAAAAAAAATTAAATATTACATAATATAAAACAGTTTAATAAATAAAATTAATTTTTTAAGGGGAGACGATTATTGCCAGATGGCCCTGAGTAATCAATGTTATTCTTAAAAGACTTCCTAGCTTCTAATTCATTGTGTATTTGAAACTCGCATTAGCCAAGTCTGTCGGATATTCCAAGACTCAATAAAACAGGATCGGATGCCTGGTCTGTCTGTAGGAATAAAAGAGAATATTTTGTCATTATGAGTCCAGGCTCGGTTCGAGAATATGATTAAAACATGGATTGTACATATCATACACTATATACTAATCCAGATCTCATTATTTTATTTATTTTTATTTTTTTTTTGAGATGTGCAAAGTCGTTTTACGCACCTTGATTTTTATAAAATATTTTCTCGGCTATTAGGGCATATTTGCAAGAACCTATCAAGTTTTTAATAACTTTCTAGGGAACAACAATCTATCTAAAAATATGGATATGGATCTAATATTTTGACCCAATATCATCAGAAAAAGGTGACATTGAAATCGGTGAATCCAAATCTGCAACTTCTCTTTGTGAGACAATTTTTTTTTTTAATTAATGATGAACTAATGTAAATTAATATTAACAAAAACATCCGATAATCATTATGAATTATAACTTCCTTTACATAATATTTTATATTAAAAATCTGTAGGATGTCAATTATAAACATAGTTTAAACATGTAAAAATGCTAAGTGATTTGCAGGACATGTCTAATAAAGCATAGTTCAAACTGACTAAAATTCGTTGCATTGTAATATTTAACCATGATCTTTAACCTTTGAAATGAAAGTAAACTAAAAAAAAAAGAGATAATATTTCAAAATAGCAGATTTTTAATTTCGAAGAAAAACAACCAAAGATTTATCGGGTCCATTACAATCCTATAATCAAAATATTAGAAAAAAAATGTTTGGTTTAGTAATACTCTATTTATTTTTAATATTTTGATTACGAGACATTAATAGACAAGATATTTCCCCCTCGAAATGTAAAATCAGCGATTTTGAAACATTTATTGGTTTTTTATAGAAGCAGTAAACACTTCTAAAGCAAATAACGTGATGGAGATTTTTATCATCATATTTATGGTTTATATTGTATTAATTTATTACAAGTACGAACAATAACAAAGCAATATGGAAAAATAAATTAGGAAAAAAGAAAATCTATTTTTGATTTCAGGCATGGTTATTTAAATCACACATTTAACCATGAATACAAATGATTTTCTGAAGTCTGATTGTGTTAAATTCCACAATGATTATTATAAATTAACTTATTTAAGATTATGTTCTTACTTATACTTCCTACTTGTTCATCTGTGCCTTCGTTAATTTGCTCACTCTTTACAAATTCTAAAAAAAAAAAATCATTATTTACATATGTAATAGTTATACTACTAATTATATTTACATCTAGGGAGACAAAAGTTCAAGGAGACAAAAGATTGAAATTATGACGTCAAATGTGTTAATACCATTTGCTAAGATGATAATTAGTAAGAAAATGCATAAATAACCCAAAGATAATGTCCATAAGGTACTTTAATAAATAAATAACTAATACCTTCACAACTCTGTCTGAGTTTGGACATAATATACTCGTCCAGTCTTTGAGTTGTAAATAATATTAGGATCTTTTGATCATTTTTTCACTGTTCCATGATGTAATACATCAAGAATGTTAATCAATATTTTTTTTTCTAATTATAGACACTCAGAATCTAAGTTAAATAATAAGTTAACAAATTCAGAAAACCGTTCTACGCTTTGGTCTGAAACTTTTTTTCTTTAATGTGTCTAGCAACATGTTAACTTATGCAAACATATGAAACTTAACCACCTCTTTTCGCCCGTTTAATTGCAGTTATAAGAATTATGTTCCAGATGGAAAACTCTTATTTTAGGAAAACGAGCTAACTGAGACATTTAGAGAAGGAAATATGTTTTTAACGACTTATCTATGAAGACAACATTTATTTGAAAGAGCATGTAGATTATTAATAAGGTTTTAGCACAATTAATCAATGTTTTAAGAGAAGAGTATGCACTCCAAGGCACAGCTTTTTTTATCCTTAATAAGAGGTAGATTTTAAAAAATAAGGCACGAAAAAGATTATATAGTAAACCTTAACTCAGATAGGTTGATAATATTGAAATGCAATCCATTTAATTTTTTTTTTAAATACGGGCAGACATTGTACTTCAAAATCTTTTCACTTTGACTGGTGAACGTTTATTCACATGCCTAGAAATTATGAAAAGTTAATAATTTCGTCTTATTATTTATTAGAAACTAAGAAAAACTTTATTATGATCTGAAAAAAAATCATGGATTCGTTCCTATAGGCCACTACAAGAAACAAATATAGCACTAAATGACTTTTAAATTTTCTTGTAATACCGAATACAATTACATGTATTATATACCAGCTAATGAAAAATAAATCGATGATCTCTGCCCAAGTGATATTTTACTATAGAATTATTATATTTGGATTTGAAAATTTTCATGAAGTATAAAGAAAACTAAGTTTTATACAAAAAAATGGTTTACAAATCATTTAATGACTTTTTAAACAATAGCAGATTAGTGTGAATGAGGAAGAAATGTTTTATTGTCAACTCTATAGTTTCGTAACGATAGATTCGCAATCGGCACCACTATGCGGCAGCAAAAGAATTTTTTTTTTTGTGAACTGCTAATGACTGCAATCCCCAACTTCTCTTAAAAGAACCTACAGTCGATCATTTCTCCTCCATTAAATAAAAAATAACTTGCTTTAGGCAAATCTGTATGTAAAAATAAAATTCATAAGATCTAAAACTTTTTTATTTTTCGATGTATACGTTTTCGATTGGAATATTTTTATATAAAACCAATCCTGGTATTATTTACAAAGATCTGCTCCCATTATTGTTTTAAATTTTTTTAGAATATTTGAATCAATTTTAAGTTTATCGAGGAAACATGGTTGTCTGACGGAAAATCTAACGCTTTTATAATAATATAATTGAAAATAGTATATCTAGATCTGGAAATACATAAATATTTTTTAATTCTTATCTTTACTTTCTAAAGTAATATAATTTTCTTAATAAACACTACATCTCTCATAGATGTAAATAATAATAAAAAATAAAGCTTTTGAAGTGAAATAAAAATGTAAATTGTTATAATGATATTAAATATAAATGTTAAATGATATTTTTTGATACAATAGCATATAGTAGCACATGGGCCATTTACAAATATAAATATATATATATATTGAATTTATATTTAAATATGGCATATGTATCGTTAAAAATTATCTATATTTTGAATACGTTACACTATGTTAATGTTTTTTTTATTTATGGTTTAGTTTTCATATTTTCTTTATACTACTCACAATACATCGGCTGTTAAAAACATTTTTCTTTTTAATTCAAATTCGTACCGTTTGTAGATGTGGCAATTTTTTTTACGGCCGCATTATTTAGTTGAAAAATGGTAAAATTCTATCAGTTTTATATTATAAAAAATAATTAATCATTTTTATTTAAACTATTTTCGCAATAATACCTTAATAAAACAATGAATTAAAAATGTTAATTGCAAAATATTCTTTATGATAATACATATTTTGCTTCCTTACAACCATATGTGGATTTTGCATGGGGATGTTTTGCATTCCTGTGGGATGTTTATGGATTTTCGGCTTCAAAATCAAAAATTTTCACTCGTTTTTAAGATGATATTTTTGTTAATAATGGCCTGATTCACATCAGGTGAGATAATGTGAGAAGAAATGAAAACCATTTTGAGAGCTGGTTTTTCAATATTGTTCAAACCTAACGGTGCGTACTTGGCAGAATTAGATACTTATAGTAAATCCTAAGACAGATGAAACATAGGTTTTTAAAAATATTCAATCGCATCAAACAGTCGCAAACAATTTTGGTCTATTTCGCAAATTGTCCGAAAAACTAGATAGATACTATCATTAAAAAAATTTCGATCTTCTAAAAACAGTTTTCAGACCTTGCCGGTTGGCACCTCAGAAGTTACTAAGGATTTAACACACGAGAACGTTGAATATAGAGTGACTAGAATTAATTTTTATTTTATTTTTTTTTTACTAGCGTACTCGAGCTACTATCAATCCAGTTTTTGACTAAATTGTATCGAATTGTCTATACTGGCCAAATTATAAACACATCACAAGTTTAATGGCTAAGTTTTAAGAAATAAAAATATATTTTTTATTATTACTACGCAGATGTAACTTTATATTTTATTATAATATGTCGTTATGAAATAGAAAATAAATCATACAATATCTGAACAATCTAATATTTCCAATACAAACGACAAAACATGGTTTCAAACAATCTATTTGAATCTACAGCGGAAATTTTTACAATGTTTATTGTATGTGAAATACTTGTATTTGAAATACTTACATTACATAAATTAACAATTATACACAAAACACCTATTGTTTGACATCAAATACCTGATATGAATAGCAATTCATAGGCTAGAGCAATTATGTCAAAAATATTTTGTTCATAGAATATTTCTTTTATATAAATAAAAAAAAAAGAATTATTTCATGTATTCACTATTATTATGTATGATCCTTTCCTGTTTTTTTTTTCATCAGCTTATCAATCGCTTTTTTTATTAGTTTAAACAGAAATTAATTTTCAAAAATTTGACTTTTTCTTCTGAACTGAAGGTTTTTTGAACAACATAAAATGTCCCCATAAAATGTGATGTTTAAGAACGTAAAGTGTGGTGGTGACTTAATTCGAACACCCTTTAATTGTAGGAACTCTGATTAAGGCTAGTAACTTAAGTCGTAACTTCGGCACAAAATAAAATGATAAACTAAGTTAGAGAGAACACACAAATAAAATAAAAGATTTTTCAGTCAGCTTCCCAACTGTAAAATTTAGTGCTTGTAGTAGTTCAGGTTAGGAAAGAGGGTAATAGTGGGTTATGATAAAAAGTTCAGTTCGAACTGTCATGTAAAAGAAAAATGTTTTTGAAATTGTATGTGTACTACAATGTTGACCCAACTGCTGGATGTAAGCTAAATATAAACATACATCTACAGATTTATCTGCTAGTTAGATTACCGAATTTTTACACTGCTATTTATTTCTATTGCGGAGTGCCAAGATGACAACTGTACTATACGTAAGCAGACAATAACGTGCAAGAAATCTAACGTTCTGATTAGCGGAAAACCCCGAGGATTCGGAAACTGGAAGAAGATAGTATGTATAGATAATAAAATATACGTGGTCTACCTAAAATAATCGTTCCTGTATGCCTATCTATTGACATGTTGTCTTCATATTCTATGTATGAATACCCATATATTATGAGATACCCATATTCCTAACAAAGGTAAGAATAAATGCCTATGCATTTATTCTCTTCTTGATTAGAGTTTTCATTACGCTTCAATATTTGTTTACATGGTGGAAACAAAGGTCGGTAGGACGTTCTGCTCTGTCATCTTCTTTTTTTAAAGGTCGATATTGGAGAACGTATTTTAGTAAATTAATTTCTAACTGCATTCATCGTAGACAGTCCATATTTTTTTAGCTGTCGCATTACCAGCTTTGTTTTTCATCATATGATAAACTTATTGAAAGGTTATAAACAACAGTTTTTGTACCACGACAACCAGCTATGAAAAGATCTCTTACCTACTTAGTGAACGCAGAACCCAATCATTTCGTCACCCGTGGTGGAGAGAAAAAAAGAAGAAATCCAATGTAGCTCCATCGAAATGTTTTTAGGAATCAAGTTGAGGAAGTAACAGCAGTGAATCTAATTGGCTAAACTAATTTTTAAAATAATTCTACATCTGATTCCATAACCTGCTTATAAATCTATCAATGCAAATCGATTGTATTGATCCAATCAAAACAGTTTTCTATCACATAAGACTGAATTTTTATTCATACCTTTATTTTCTTGAGATTTCGGAATACATTCTACCGACGAAGCTCTCCTAGATGTACCTAAAAAAGTATAGTGAATGTTGTAGGCACTTATACAATAAATGATAAATACATACTTTGTGTCACTTCAAATAAGTATATTTAATCTAACGAATAGGCAATTCGTATTAATTGATTTTATATTTTAGTGAATAAATATTAATTTTTTCTAGTTTGATAAATATTCATTTTTATTATTACAAGGATATGCTATGTTTAATGATATTATAGTAAATGTTTATAAATCGTTTCTATGGTAACACAACAGACTTGCACTATTGGATTACTGCTAAAAGTTCCTAATTGCACATTTGATTTAGGTTAACTATAACAAATATATTCTAGGAATTTTAGCCTTACTTATCGACACAAAAAAAAAAAAGGAAGTGGATCAAAATGACACAAACCTCTTTGCTTTATCATAATTAGTTTCACTAAGTGCACAACATTGTGATTCGTGTCACAGAAGGAAAATTCAAACAAGAATATGGTATTTTAAGTGCATGGAATGTTATTTATGACTTATTGCGGTAAAAGCATGAAATGTTTGTGGCGGCGACCGACTCATAAAATATGGTCACTAACTCTGAATTTTTTTTAAAAATCAATTGATGAGTTCTGAGGTTAATTATTTACACATATATCTGCCTATTCCATTTTCCTTCATTATCCAATGTCGGTGTAGTCCATGCAGAACCTTGGTCTCCTAAACTATACTCATCCAACTGACCTGACTTAGGCCACCCCCGTCCATCCGACCAACACACCCCGGCTCCATATCATACCAGAGATCGTTCTCGATATCATCCAGCCAACGAAGTCTAGTCCAGCCTATTTTTCTTCTTCGACCAGAGTGTCTCTCAATCATCAGTTTAGGAAGCCTGATATGTTTCATTCTTTGCATGTGACCCAACCATCTTATCGTTTCCTTGGTGGATATAATATTTGGTTCATTATATAGTTACTTTAGCTCTTCATTCGCCAAATATTTGGTTCATTGGTTGGTCCGTAGATTTTGCGAAGGATTTTTCTTTCCCACGTGTTCAATAGTCTCCCTTTATGGAGTGTGAGGGTTCAGGGCTCAGGCCGCATTTCGAAAGATTATTGTTTCTGTTATTAATTCATATCATGGTCATTATTTCTTTTCTTATTTTACTACCTGAGTATTCCTGTGATAATCGTAACAGGATACTTAAATTGAGGTACTCTCTCGAAACCAGCCCCATCAATATATAAATTGACTTTTATTTCACTCATTGTTAACAAACCTAGTTTTTTAAATATATTTTATTTAGCTACTCTGATAATTCCCTTGAGGTGAAAGTTCATCTTCTTGTTGCATTTGTTATTGATTTTTTTTGTTATTTTTTATGAATTAATTATTTTATTCTGCAATTAAGGAATGTGATATTTGAGACAATTTCATGATCAGTAACCATTCCTCCGGGTAGTACAAATTAACTCTTCTCTTACATTCTACTATATTCGCTGAAATCCTTACCTGTTAACCTACATATTATGTCCAACAGTTGGAAAACATATCCAATACTTTTTACACATGCACCGCCGTTGCCTTGCAACCAGATAAACCAAAGTTAATGACACAATAATTATGAGTTCGGGTCAAGGTGGCGAGGAGGCTTTTAACTCTGACATTATTTACTCTGGTATAATCGTGGGTCCGCCATAAAATACATTTCAACCAGCCCATACCCAATTCGAGAATACTACAGTTTAAGCTTTAATATCCACTCTAGAGCCGAAACGTATGCTGATGACACACGTGTGCTCTTAGTGAACAATGATCCATTAATTACATATCCAATCACATATCATAAATCTTGAAGAATGGTGTCGAAGTTGGAGAATAAAACTAAATCTTGACAAATCATATTAAATTATCCTTAACTTCCATCGTAAGCCTATGGCCTAAGCAGTATTCTTTAATAATACCCCACTTGTCCTTTATGAAGCGATCCTAAGATTCCACTTGAATAAACGGCTTACTTGGGATCTTCATATGAGAATGAAACGACTAAAAACAGTTTGATGCTGCCGGTACTTTCAAAAGCTGTAGGATACCGATTAATTTAAGAAAGGCTCATTTAACATTACTAAGTAATAATACTAACGTTTGGATTTCTTGAGTCGAGATTTGACCAAAAAGACTTTTATTTACCTTAGGTAATTCATTTGGACTGAACTGGATACATATTTTTCAATAATAACTTCACACCTATCAGATCACTTTAGTTTTGTTTCTAACCTGCTTCTTCTTCGATTCCTAATTATCTTAAGCTTCATTAGTAAATACATTATATTTCTGGATTGGAAAACTTAAATTAGTTTCTTTATCAGTTGCAAATTTTATATTATACCTTTTTTCTTCTGATGACTTAAAACACTCTCACGGCTCTTCTTAGATTTACCTACACAATAATGAGGAAAAATATATCAAATAATCTTTCGCTTATATGAAATGATTCAGATATTTCAGTAATCCTTAATTATTTATAGTTACAGTAAACAACAAAGTGCAGGTATTGATCGGTTTAAATATGTTTTATACTATAAAAGCATCAACAATGGGGTTCAAGAACCACGAATTCTCGTCAACTGTCTGTACTCAATTCCCAAAATTTTACCCTTCTTCCACCCAACTCACCTACCTACTGGCCCACTGATCCTAACCGTAATCCCGATATCCTCGATTTCTTTATCCATAATGGTTTAGGTGCTCTCAACCATTCCGTTGCCCGTCTTGACGAGCTTTCCTCAGACCACAGCCCATTAATACTCCAAGTATCACTAGCTCCTATTCCTAAACCCTCTCCTCCGTCCTTCATCAGAGGCCCAGTTAACTGGAAACTCTTTCATCAAATCCTCTCCGATAAAATTGACCTCAGAGTAACCCTGAAAACCTCTGAAGACCTGGACAATGCAGTACATTCCTTCACTACCAAAATTCAAGAAGCAGTCTGGACTGCTTCCTCCCCTGATCACTCCTCAAAAATCCTTAAGAAACATAATTTACCTCAATACCTCCTTGACCTAATCCACATAAAACGCCGTGCCATATTATTATGGCAACGTACCAGACATCCAGCCGACCGCCACTCCTACAATTATCACTGTAAAAAATTAAAACAAGAATTAGCCACCTTCAGATCCCAATCATTCAATTCCTACCTCACCACACTCTCTGCTCATGATAATTCCCTTTGGAATATCACCAGAAAAATCCTCAAATCCCATCATATTTCCCACCCTCTTCGACGAGATGATGGCTCCTGGGCAGCATCTGATGAAGATAAAGCCGAGGAATTTGCCAAACACCTTTCCTATACTTTCGCTCCTCATCCAGAATCCCATCCCAGCCACACAGTAAAAGTAGAAGAATCCCTCGCAATACCTATCCCACTCTCCTTACCACCTAAAGCTGTTAATCCCTCTGAGGTCAAATACCTTTTACGGAAAATCACTCCTCGCAAATCTCCTGGATATGACCTTCTAACCCCACAGATCCTTCGACAACTTCCATCTAAAGCCATCATATTTCTTACATATATATACAATTGCATCCTACGAACTACCCACTTCCCTCTTTTATGGAAACATTCCACCATCGTCCTCTTCATGAAACCAGGCAAACCTTCCAACTATACAGCATCCTATAGACTAATTAGCCTACTCCCAATCCTCTCAAAAATTTTTGAAAAGATCCTACTGAAACGAATCCTACCTATAATTGAATCCTATAACCTTCCTACTCATCAATTCGGATTTCTTTCCCAACATTCCACTGTCCAGCAAGGACTCCGAGTTGTTGACCATATATCCTCAACCCTAGAAAGCAAGCAGTATTGCTCGGGTGTATTTCTGGACATAGCGCAAGCTTTTGACCGGGTATGGCACGCCGGATTACTCTTCAAGCTTAAAATCCATCTACCACAGTCCTTATACCTAGTACTCCGATCCTATCTTTCCGACCGCTCCTTCCGAGTTCGCTGTGGCACCGAATTCTCCGACTGTTACTCAATTGAGGCTGGCGTTCCTCAAGGCAGCGTCTTGGGCCCCATCCTTTACATTCTCTTTACCGCTGATATTCCTGTCCATCCCGATACCCTCCTGGCAACTTTCGCTGATGACACTGCTATCCTTTCTTCCAACTCAGATCCTGAAACAGCGTCCGCAAACTTACAAAGGCACCTCTTCCTGATTGAACACTGGTGTAAGAAATGGCGCATTAAGGTAAACGAATCTAAATGTAAACACATTACCTTCACCCTTCGGCGTAATACCTGCCCACCAGTTTATTTTAACTCCATCCAGCTTCCTTTCTCAGATACAGTCCGGTATCTTGGCTTTCTCTTAGACAGACGACTAACATGGAATCCACATACTCGATTTAAAAGACAGGAACTTAACAGACGATATGGCCAGCTATATAGGCTACTGAATAGAAAATCTAAACTTTCTGGTGAAAACAAATTACTGATCTACAAGACAATACTGAAACCCATCTGGACTTACGGACTAGAACTATGGGGAACAGCCAAATTTTCTAACATCAAACGCATTCAATCCTTTCAGTCTAAAGTCCTCCGTACAATAGTCAATGCTCCCTTCTATGTAACCAATAAAACCCTACACCATGACCTTAATATCCCATTTATTCTTGATCTTATCCCAGCCAAATTTTCCAAATTTCACCAGAAACTTTCTCATCACCCAAATCCCGTTGTACAATCCCTATCAAGCACCACCCATCCCTACAATCCCCTTCGTAGGTTAAAGCGGCAGTGGCCACGAGACCTTTTGTAAATATGGATATTTTGGAGTTCTAGCAATGGACAGATTCTCCACTCAAGTCATGAGTGTCTGTGGCTGTAGCGCTCTTACTCATCCTCCGCTGGTTTAAAATACCAGTGAAGTGGCTGAGGGAGAAGCGTAGGGATCTCCTAAGCCTCCCTTTTCCCTCCACATGTGGAGGGGACAGGATTGGTTCGGAGATCACCTGGCAAATTGTAAATAATGTATGTTTTATATAAGGTGTTTGTTTTACTTTTATTTCTATTTTTATTTACTTATGTGTATATATATATATATTTTTTTTTTCTTTACTCTTTTGTTCTTTCTTCTTATTCTTTTGTTATTACTTTATTTATTTATATTTTTGTATATACGGTATGAATGCAATCTCTGAACTCTATTATAAGTGTCCTTAACTGTGACAAATTGTAATATTTCTGAATAAAGTGTTTTAATATTCTTAAAATACTATAAAATTTGTATTAGTACCTTTGTTCAATCCTTTATGCTCTGAACATTTTCGGATACATTTTTCGATTGCATTAGCTTTCTTAGGCACTTCTAAAAAAAATGAGACAGTAAAATATAAATTATTTAATAATTTTTTGTATGGTTAAATATTTCTTTTTTAATAAATTTTATCTTTCATATATATATATATATATATATATATATATATATATATATATATATATATATATATATATATATATATATATAAATTATATACATTATTTATATATTTTGTTTTCTTCTTTCCTTGCCTCTCTGCTATACAGATTTTTGGTAGAAGTAGCCTGATACTTCTAACACTTGTCTTCTGGTCATTCGGTCTTCTTTAGTGGAGGTTGAAGTGATCATCCCCCAATAATTCCTTCCACCCGTACACGAATGCTTCGTAGGACGGGTATGTTATCCTTACCAGCTGAGGGAAATCGTTCTCCGTGATGATGTAGAGTCCGGTTTCCCTCAGTAGTTTTGCCCTTATTGCTTCAAAAGCGGTTCAAGTCGTGACAATATGCTCAACAGTTTCCGGAACTCCACAACAGGGACATAGGAGGTAAATTACTTTTCTAAAGCATGGCGCGAAAATCCCCATGCCCTGTCAGGAATTGTGACACCCAATAATCAGGAAGGACCCATTTCTTATCCAACCTTGAATAGACGTAATGAAAGTATTTCATAGTATATCAAGGTAGAAGAGCCTTTATAAGTAGTAACTCACCTTCGATTCCGCTGCTCCATGATGTCCTCCCGCATTATTCTTTGTCATTTACATGGATCTGCCGCAATCCTTTCTTAAATATTTTCCGAAAGATTTGCTGAGCTTTCGTTCTTAAGGATATACTTAAGCTTGTCTTCTTGCAGCAACAGTCCTGTAGGATTTCGTTACTCGCAACAGAGCTGTTCTCTGGATTGTCGCCATTCTCCTCTTCTGTAGTTGTGACAGGTTACGATTCCAATCTGGGGAGGCGTACCTCAAAATACTCAGTACTACTCCATTATAGATAGTCATCGTTGCCGGGTACCTTAGGCTCCAGAAGGCGCCACCAATATGGCTTATTCCATTGAAGGATAGGGTCATACTATTTCTCGGGTAATCCAATTGAGGAGTAACATTGAATCTTCTACCGAATTTCACTCCAAGATAGGTTACTTCTTCATTCGGAATTATCCTTATCTCTTGTATATTCATGACAATAGGGTGAGTCCTAGCAGTTGTACCCTTTAGGAGTATAGCTTGGGTTTCGGCGCAAGCCATTTTCAGCCTTTTCATCCTCCGACAAGATTTGCTTACCTCTCTGCTTTTCCTTTCAAACTTACTCTGCTATGCCATGGATGCCACAACTACGGCCAGGTCGTCAACATGGGTCGTGGCAGGGAACCGCTTCTCATCGAGTACCCCCAGAAACTCATCGAATACTAATTTTCAAAGGTCAGGTCCGAGGACAGATCCCTGCGGACACCCCCTTTCCACTTATAAACTATTTACAGATATATAATATTTTAATCTTGTTTTTATGCAGCTTAAATACCTTTATTTATCGAAGATTTTATACTTCTTTCTCTACTTGTACTACGGCTCTTAGATGCACCTAAAAAAGAAACAAATTAAAATTAATGAATTCAAGTGAATAAATTATATGTATCATATTATTCAAATGTTTTTTCCGAACTTTTGGAACTGTTGTCGCTCTGATGAAAATTAACAACTTACACCTAAACTTCGGTAAACATTAAAAAAATCTGGTGAGCGCATCACACGACTTTCATTTACCAACCTCTTATTGGAGGAAATTAGTATTTTCAGTCAAAGGGGATGTAAAAGTAAAAAAATGTAGAAGGTATATTTATTAACATTTCATTGTGGGTATTTGTATTTGTTTAATTATCCTTATATATACAAATATTAATTTTTATATCGCTGTAATCTATACAATTAAATATTAAATAATACCAACGATAGCATTTGTGAAAACCGCTTATGTATAGGTACATTATTGTTGGAGTCCGTATTATGCTAAGATCATGTTATGGAAGTCTGTTCCAATCTTTCGGGCAAGCTCGGGCGCGCTCGTATTCCTTTCTTTCCTTCATTAAATCTATAAGCCATTACGATCTCTTATTTCTCCTTTTGTTAATAATCAAATTCTTTCATATGTTATATTTAACTATTTTTTATATCAAAGATTAATGTTAAATGGTTAATTATTTCAAATAGAAAAAAAGTAAAGGTACTTTTGAAGAAGCTAATGTTGAAAATTAGAACCGTGTTAGAGAACATCAATGAGAATAAAATCTACATTATATTAAAAACTACTTAATAATACACTGATATACTGAGACACACACACACACCATTTTGCGGCACTTGGTTATTCAGGGGACCTCAAAACATGTATTGCCATTGAAAACTCAGATTCGAAAATTTGCTCGATCGCAATGCTTTCCCTTACGTATGTTTCACTATTTCCCTATATATGTTTCATATATATGTAAGTGCAAGTAAAAACATATCATTGTCAAATTCTCTTTGGTTTAATGAGTTCAATAACCAATAATAAATTATCGAGACTCAAGAAAATAAATAGAAGCAATATTAATTGTCATTTAGTCTTATTTATCTTCAAATACACATTATTTGATAATTAGTACCTTTCCGCGTTTCATTCAAGAGCTTGTGATATTAAAGAACAATAAACAAATTTTCTATTCCTGTAAGTCTTACCCCATTCCCTACTCCACAACCGAAACCTGAGGATGATTTATACAATGTTTATACTGATTTCATAAAAAACAAATTAATTTAAAACCAATAGAAATATAAAAATTACTTCTTCTGAAAAAAATCTTTAATGGTTGATATCGAATATTATTTTATTTCGAGTTTCTACAGTTGATTATTGATTTTTAGAATTATTAAAACAAAGTGAATTCGATATAATAACTTACACCTCCATATTTTTTTTTTACATTAAATAATACATTAAAAGAACATTGTTTATATTGTCGAATGTATTAGGGACTGAGGATTAACATTAAACCTTCGGTAACTTATATAGAGTTTGCCAACATTTTATGTTATTTGAATCTTGATTGAAAAGTAGAAAATATATCCCCACAAATTTAGAAATTTATTCCCTTAGGAAGTAATATAAAATTATATATTTTTGGAGTGATATTCGCTTTTATTAATTTAGATCACAGTGAATTGTTTACACGAGTAAATCGAATTTTTCGATACTTTTTTTTTTAATTGCCTTTGTTAAAATAAAAGTAAAATCAGTCATCAGCTTTTCTTTTAGCTTTTTAATATTAATTTTCTGTTGAACCTTTAATTATGGAATGGTTATTGTGTAATATTTTTAATGAAAAGTCCGAATTTAGAGAAAAAAAAGGAGGTTGTAAAAGAATTTTTTAAAAGAAATATGGCTTTCCTCCATCTAACATTTTATACGGTTAAAGCCCCCCGGTTACTAATTTTAAAAAACAAACAACAATATTAGTAAAAAAAAACTTGAGTGCAATTAAACATTTAAAACGTACACTTTAATGGTTCAATAATTAAAATTTCCAATAATTTGACAATTTGTTCACTGTAATCCGGAAAAATATAATCAACTTTGTACTTTTTATATATTTATATCTAATAATTTATTTTTCACATTTTTTCGAAATCGACTAATATTACATTCTCTCAAAATTAAGGACATTACCAATAGTGATAGAGTTGCTCATTCACAATGTAAATAAAAATAAATTAAACAGCAAAAAAACAATGCAAGTAAATGTATATATAAAAAAAAAAAAAAATAACAACTTAAATATAGGTAAGCAACACTATTCAAAATATACTTGATATATGATGTATTTAGTGGAATCAATTATCTGATAAAAAAAATCAAAGAAAGAGTTGAGGTCCTTTCCCACTAAACGAAAAATCTGGACAAGAAATGATAGACTTGTGAGGGGACAGTATAACAAAATTTTGTCGACGTCACAAATATGGGTTTTCGGGTTTTTTATTCGCAGAAATATAATGTCTTGGAGCTTGAAATTTCACTTTCAGATCTCCCAATTTTATCTTATCTTCTGGGTGCAAAAAAGAAACCACTCCCAACTTCGGATTCTATTTCTTCTTAACACAGGAACAACTATGTTTAAAGCTGATGTTTTTCCTCCCTCGTTTTAAAATAGTTGTCCTTTTGTTTATTTGTAGCATTAAGGTTTGAATTGTCAAGCAAAATATAAGTATTTTTTCTTGTAAACGATAATGATTTTATTTCGTACCTTTTTTATGAGTTTCTGGTGTTTTCGGAATGCACTCTATAACCTTCAGTTGTTCCTTACATGGACCTAAAATAACGATAAAGTTTAATGATGTATATTGATTCATTCTATTTAAGAATTTTCTAATATCTACTATACTATTTAATCTTTATACGAAAAACCTATTTTATCTTAGCTATTGGGTGCCAACAGAAACGATGCCCAATTTCAGATTCCACATCTTCTTAACTGAGGAGCAATACTGTTTAAAGACGGCAGTGTTTCCTTATATATATTTTTTGTTGTATATAATTTTATCAGGATAAAGCGTTGGATTATTAAGCAAAATAAATGTATTTTTTCTTGAAAACAATAATAACTGTATTTCTTACTTTTTTTACGATATTCTGGTGTTTTTGGAATGGATTCTGCACTCTTCAGTTGTTCCTTACATGGACCTGAAATAACGGTAAAGTTTAATGATGTATATTGATTCATTGTATTTAAGAATTTTATAATATCTACTATACTATTTAATCTTTATACGAAAAACCTATTTTATCTTAGCTATTGGGTGCCAACTCAAACGATGCCCAATTTCAGATTCTACATCTTCTTAACTGAGGAGAAATACTGTTTGAAGACGGCAGTGTTTCCTTATATATATTTTTTGTTGTATATAATTTTAGCATGATAAATGGTATGATTTTTAAGAAGAATAAATGTATTTTTTCTTGAAAACGATAATAATTTCTTACTTCTTTTACGATATTCTGGTGTTTTTGGAATGGATTCTGCACTCTTCAGCCGTTCCTTAGATGAACCTAAGATAACGACAAAGTTTAGTAATGTATATTGATTCATTGTATTTAAGAATTTTCTAGTTTTGTTATCGAGTACACAATTTATGCTTAATAAGAGAAAAGTCATTTTATCTTTACAATCGAGTACCAACAGACACCACGCCCCAATTCATATTCTGTTATTTCTTAACTAAGGAACAATGCTGTTTAAAGGTAGTATTTTTTTCTTTCTGAATATCATATTATTTCTTTTGCAAATTTTATCATGATAAAGCGTTGGATTATTAAGCAAAATAAATGTATTTTTTCTTGAAAACAATAATAACTGTATTTCTTACATTGTTTACGATACTCTGGTGTTTTTGGAATGGATTCTGCACTCTTCAGCCTTTCCTTAGATGAACCTAAGATAACGACAAAGTTTAGTAATATATGTTGGTTCATTGTATTTAAGAATTTTCTAGTTTTGTTATCGAGTACACAATTTATGCTTAATAAGAGAAAAGTCATTTTATCTTTACAATCGAGTACCAACAGACACCACGCCCCAATTCATATTCTGTTATTTCTTAACTAAGGAACAATGCTGTTTAAAGGTAGTATTTTTTTCTTTCTGAATATCATATAATTTTTTTGCGAATTTTATCAGGATAAAGCGTTGGATTATTAAGCAAAATAAATGTATTTTTTCTTAAAAACAATAATAACTGTATTTCTTACTTTTTTTACGATACTCTGGTGTTTTTGGAATGGATTCTGCACTCTTCAGCCTTTCCTTAGATGAACCTAAGATAACGACAAAGTTTAGTAATGTATATCGGTTCATTGTATTTAAGAATTTTCTAGTTTTGTTATCGAGTACACAATTTATGCTTAATAAGAGAAAAGTAATTTTATCTTTAGAATCGGGTACCAACAGACACCACGCCCCATTTCATATTCTGTTATTTCTTAACCAAGGAACAATGCTGTTTAAAGGTAGTATTTTTTTCTTTCTGAATATCATATTATTTCTTTTGTGAATTTTATCATGATAAAGCGTTGGATTATTAAGCAAAATAAATGTATTTTTTCTTGAAAACAATAATAACTGTATTTCTTACTTTTTTTACGATATTCTGGTGTTTTTGGAATAGATTCTGCACTCTTCAACTCTTTCTTAGATGGACCTAAAATAACGAGAATTTTAGATAATGAATTTATTCATTAAATGTAAGAATTTTTGAATTAGATTATCGATTGCAAAATTTAATGTTTTTGTATTTTCAAAATCAAAATTATAAATCTAGGTATATAACATCTACAAGCAACATCTTGCTTTTAGACTAATTATTTTCTAAATATCCCGAAACGTAAACTTGTAAACATGGAATTTTGATAATACAACAAATAAATTCAATTGTTGTTAATTGGGAGTAATCATTGCCAAATAACAAAGAATATCATACAACTTTCCAGAAAAAAAAATATAAAATTTCTATATTTTTAATGTCTTACATAGTTAACTCATACATTCCTAAAGTTTAGGCACGAATAAAAATACCACCAGTTCTCAAGATATTAAATAAAAAAACCTGTTTCTGCCACATTAATCGTGAAACTTTTTATAAATCATTTAATATATTTTAGGCGTTTTAGGTGAAATCTAAAAATAATTTTTTGTTGTGTAATTTGTTGAAATAAGTTCTTAAATAATTTATTTCGTAATAAATTTTCAAAAAAATCAGATTTTCATAGTCTAAGTTATCTCTCTGCGGATCCTTAAGTAACTACTTCTATTTCTTTGAATAATTGTTGCAACGAGTTTATATGTACAGATAGAGTAATGAATGTTTTTACTCGTTATATGTTAAACATAGTTCTTAATCGGCAGTGATTAACGTGCGTAAATAACTTGATACTACCGTGGTAACTTTTTTGGGGCAAGAGTGTGTTGGTTATGGTTGTTAAATGTTTTCTGGATAAAGTTGTGACACATGTAAGTTTTTTTTTTTGTACTTTCAGACCCAGAAACCGCTAAGGAAGACCGAAAGTTGATTCTAACACAATTTGTTTATGCCTTATTAGTTACAAGCGATTAAATTGTTCTATAATGTTATATATTACAATATAGGTGATTTTAGACTGCTTGTGACATTTTCTTTTTCTTTTTTTTTTCCTCCTATGAGATAACCATTGTACAATGCACTAACTTGTAAGTACTTACGGATAAAATTTTAGTTTTTATAAATAGTCAAGTGTACAGTATACAATAAAAAAAAACCTTTCATCTATCTAATCGGTATACTAACAAAATTGTGGACGATTAAATGAAAATTGTCACAACCGTAGCCAGTCTCCCCTACATAGTTAAAATCATATATATTACATTAAATTAATCCTAAAGTTCGTTCGACAAAAATATGACAGGTCGAGAATAATTGTATTGTTGTATAAATAGATAGATATTTTTATTTTTTTAAAAATAGATATTTTTCCTTATAAATTTTATTTCTTACTTTTTTTACGATTTTCAGGTGTTTTCGGGATGGCTCCTACACTATGTTCCTTTGGTGAATCTGCAACGACGATAATAGTTAGAAAAACTTTTATTTATAACTTACATCAAACAGTATTTAAAAATTCTGCGATTCATTCCAATTAAAAGAAAATTTATCTAAGATTTAATAACCACAGAAGAGCATTTGTAATTCGCAATCTGCAAAATCTTTAGCAGTTAGCCAAATTTACACAACAGATCTTTTGGCCACGGCCACCATAGTCATCGTGCTAGCACATCAACTCGTTTTATAACAAATGTCAGTTTTCATAGGAAAGGTTATTTAGTAACACAACTTTATGAAATCAAAACATACTTATTCCAAATATTTACACTCATTTTCTATATATCTACTTACATCATATACCTGAGTATCATATTAAAAAAATTTACCTTAAGGAATTTGTCCGAATTTTTGAACAAACAGAAATATGTTGGAGATAAGTCTGGTGAATAACTTGGGTGTGGAAGAACTTCGTAACACAACTCGTTTAGTTTCTTAACTGTCCGTCATAAAATACGAGATCTGACATTATCGTGAATGATTATATCTCCCTTCTGATTACCTATGCAGGTTGTTTTTTGACAAGTTGTTGATATATTATTCAAATATCACTACAGTACGATGTGAATGTGATTTCGCCTCTGAGTAAAAAAAAAAAATAAATGAAATATTCCTGCCATTGACCACCACACTGAAATCAACACTTTTTTATAATGCAAATTTTTTTCAAACCACCGGCGGATGGTCCGTTCCTTATACGACATCCTTTCCCGAACGCCATGGTAGTTTCTACTAGCTTGGGATACCGAGGGTCCGAGTTTAAACTCATAAAAAAAATTACTCGTGTTTCTATGGTCATATTAAATGATATACCATACAATGAGCAATCAATTTGAATAATGGTAATGATAGTAAAAAAAAAGGAATTAATGACGGCTCTGTAATCTGTAATCGTAGTAAACAACAAAAATCCAATAATCCCAATTTGGATTTCTGAAATAATAAAAACGGACATTTCATATGAAATGACCTAATGGTACAGTTTTTAAATATTGAAGCATCCGGTTGACTTCCCCAACCAACTGAAGAATCTTTTGAAAATACATTGATGAACTTTATTATAAAATGTGGTGTTATCACCGCAGATATCTTTTAAATTAATTAATTTTTTTAATTTAATAGCAATTTATATTCATCTTATATTCCCCATCCGGTGGAACAACGATGAAAACTGTAAAATTTTAGACAAATGTTTTGTAATTTCATAATTGTCAGCAAGAGGTCTTAATCGAATCAACTTCATAGTATAATCTTATCAAAATTTGAATGGATAGCAAACTTTGACACCGGTACAGTCAATTTTAAGAATTATGTTATTTATATATGACTTGCTCTAATTATTTCCCGTCTGCTATAAAATTGTATGGTTTGCAGTTATGTCATTTTTCCACAATATAAGCGAGCTGATCATGAACCTTTATGAAATCACCAAGAATCGAGACTTAAAATAATTAATTTCAATATAAATGTAATAATTTATATTTATATTAGAAATTGTTGCAAAACAGTCCTAATAGACCAGGACGCTGGGTACTTCGAGCGATCAATAAAAAAAATTGGTTCAGCCGTTCCATCAAAATATCATTACATATCTACAAATAGACAAATGATAACACAGCTAGTCATCATAGAACTCAAATTGCTTCAAAACACTCTCGGGACTTCATTCACAATAATAATTTGACCCATCAAATTTGGAAGTCTGTTGAGCCATTCCTTTCAAAAATCGTTAAATCAGTAATCAAATGAAATACTTTGCAACTTCGCGGTGATTATTAATAGTCCGTGATACAGACCCCTTTTTATCGAATTATTAACATCCGCCTGAAACTTCATAAATACTTTCATCTCATCGTAACCTACAACTATTTTATTTACGAAAACTCTTGGGATTGAGGCGTGTTCAATCTGGAGGTGGGTAAACTTTGTCTATTTAATTAGGTACTAAAGACTCGTAAATACCCATTTCCTTTCTACTTGGATCTTAACATAATTTAATCATAAAAAAAGGTGGCCTACAACAATAGTGGGCCGTTTTTCCTATTTAACCTCGTTATTTTGAAAAATGGTGGTGTAGGTTACGCCAAACGGCTTGAAGGGCCACTTTTTTTTATTTTGTGATCAAATTATCTTAATAATAATAAGGCTTAGCGAACCCGAAGGTTCGATGTCGACACCACCAATCGCTTGTTACACACCTCCCTCCACCGTTCGCCGTCCAAACCCAGTCCCTTCAGATCGGCTTTAATGCAATCTTCCCACCCTCGCTTCGGTCTACCCCTCGGACGCTTACCATTCGGCACAGCAAATATTAACCTTTTAGAAATTCTCTCGTTACTAAGCCCAACAACTTTACAAGCCCATTTGATTCGCCTCGACGAAATTACCTCTATTATTTTACCCGGATACAGCTCACGCAATTCGGCGTTGTGTAACCGTCTGAACTCTCCGGTTAACTAATCCTTCTTCGGTCCGAATATTCTACGCAATACTTCAAGGTTTCAAAAACCTTAAGACGCTGCTCATCCCTTAATGTAAGCGACCAAGTTTCGCATCCATAAAGAACTGTAGGCAAGATAATTGTTTTATAGATTCCAATTTTTAAGTTCCGGGACAAGAGGCGCGAACTGAGTAGTTTTGTTACAGAAAAATAACAAGCATTTCCCGACTTCAGTCTAACCTTAATCTCTTCTTCAATTTCGTTTTTTTCTAGTTATCGTAGAACCTAGATACCTAAATTTATCTACCTGTTCAAACATATTACCGTCTATATCGATATCACCAGTAGTATCGCCATTTTTGCAGCTAACCATATATTTTGTTTTATCCACGTTTATTTCGAGTCCTAGTTCTTTACCGGCTTTCATTAACGTTGTCGTATTTAGTTTTATAGTTTCAACGTCTTCGCTTAACAGTACCAGATCATCAGCATAGCCCAGCACGGATGTTGTCCCACCCAGATCCAACCCTTTCTCGGTTCGCATTACCTCCCTAATGGCATGTTCTAATGCCAAATTGAACAGGACAGGCGAAAGAGAATCCCCCTGTTTTAAGCCCGAACGAACCTCAAATTTTTCGGACAACTTATTACCGATTCTAACTTTATTGAGTGTCTTCGTCAAGCACATCCTGACTAGATTTACTAGTTTTTTTGGAATCCCCTGCTCGATTAGAATATTATACAGTTTCAGGCGGTCAATAGAATCGTAAGCCTTTTTAAAATCTATATACAGCTGGTAAACAATACCGTTATACTCCAATTTTTTCTCTAATATTTGTCGTAAAGAAAATATTTGATCAATAGTCGAACGATTCCGTCTAAATCCACATTGGTAGTCTCCGATAATTTCCTCGGCGTATTCCGTGATTCGACTGGTTAAGATTAAAGTGAATATTTTATGACATACCGGAAGGAGTGAAATTCCTCGATAGTTATTACAATCCGTCCTCGGACCCTTTTTGTGAATCAAATTATCTTACGATACCTAATTAAATAGAAAAAGTTTCTCCCCTCCAGATTGAAAACGCCCCAATTCCAAGAGTTTTCGTAAATACAATAGTTGTAGGTTACGATGAGATGAAACTATTTACGAAATTTCAGTCGGATGTTAATAATTCGGTAAAAAGGGGTCTGTACCACAGCCTATAAGAATAATAGAGTGGAAGTAGAAAAATTTGAAATCCTTTTTTTTAATAGATTATTTACAAAATTCTAATTTTAAAACAATGTAACCAGGTAAAGTTATTTTTCACAAAAAGCCTAAGAATGGTAAATTAGACTCAACCGAGCTTTATAGTTTAACTATGTAAGCATTTCATTAAATGTCGATAGTGCCACGATACAGTGATATAAAATTAAAAAATATTACCATTGATAATAATAAAAAAAAAATCTTGAATTAATTTTAAGGTATTATATTCATCATTGCAATAAACAATACCTTGCAGAAGTTCTGTAGGTTTTCTTGAAATTTCTATAATCTTGGAATATTTTAGGGATAGGCCTTCTGGAAATCGTTCGCTACAACAACCATTCTTCTTTTGTATTTCTAAAACATAAAGGAAAACTTGAGTTGAATCATTTGATACTTCTTCGATTTTTTTTTACAAAACATAATTTGTATATATATTAATACATATATTGCACATTGTCGACAGTAAAAAAGTTTTTATTTATTTTTCATGTTTTTTCAAGGGAAGGTAGATCCTTTGAGATGCTGTTGAAACGAAAGCCAGGAGGATGAGAACAAAGACCACGAAAGAGATAGCGTCGCCGATTTAGGACAAAAAAAACTTTTCGGTAAATAATTGGTGTCATATAAAATGACCTAGTAAAATTTCAAAGTTCGTTCAAACTGTCACTGTAGGGTAGAAGAGTGAGGTTTGGGCAACGAGGCATTAAATCCCACCAGTTGAAAAATAGTTCCTGTATTATTTTATTCATAGTTCAAATCAGAGCCTATGTATGGAATTGCTTAAGGCTGCTTCTAAAAATTCAGTTCATTGTCTTTCTATCTCACTGAATTAATTTAAGTCCAACCAGTTTAAAGTTGCTTACAATCGAGTTTAAAAAATATTGATCAAACCTTTGAAATACATAAACAACACTTATATAGACATGGGTAGGTACTCTTCTCGGATCCCGCCGCTACATTTTAATTTTTTTTTTTATTTTGTGTAAACTAAAATAGATTAGCCTAGCCTGGCTAGACTAAGGTCTATCAGTAGGTATGTAACTATTTTATTGACATCTAAATATCTAAATGTTACTTTTATTTAAATTGTCATTTATATTCTAAGATTATAATATTTATCAATATATTCTAGGATTTTATGATTCAATCACACCTCAATTTCCACCTGATATTTTTAACACATTTTCAGCGACAAACTAGTCGGACTGTAAAAAAGTTTCATTTTTATTTAAGGTTTCAATCTATTGACATATTTTAATCTTTAAAACCATGCCAGAGCCAATACTGAAAAAAATATATAAAACAAAAATCAGAAATCAAAAGATATTTTTTAATTTGTTCATTATTCATTTTTGGCTGAGAAAGTTCTAGAAATGAACCAATATTATGAAGGCTGTTTCTCCCTCCCCTGTGTTTATTCTAAACAAATACTATATACGTATATTTTCATTTTTTTTTATATATAGATATTCTAAAGTATATATAATAAATAAAACAACAACAAAAATCCTTACAACTATACAAACAAATTAATTCTAAATAACCAATAATAAATTTCTTCGTTTCACAATAATGTTGTTGAATTTTTACACAAAATAAAAACTTCCACCTTTTTTTTAATTTGGTACATCACCCATCCCTTCTCCCTCTCCCCCAGTTGGTGCCTATGAGCAGGGGTTCCCAGAAAGGGATGCGTGGCACAAAATGCGCCAACGAAATTTTGAGGGAGCACATATTTACTTCCATACTGGTTTTCTGTTTATTGATATAATTGTTTATTTTTTTATTTGTGTTAAACATGGAGGTGAAAACCTCTAGCTAGATCAGGGTTACAAAACTAATGCAATGCAGGACCAGGATATTAAATGATCGTAGTGCCATGGAATGAGTCAACAAAACGTCTAACATTTTATTTCTTACTTTCGTCTATATGTGACAAGATGCGGATTGTCAGACAATACAACTTTTTTTTTTTCGTCGAAAATAGCAAATGCAAATTTAATTCATACTATTTGTTTGATTTTCTGGTGTTTCAGGAATGACATCTACGTTATGTTCCTTCAGTATACCTGAAATAATGACAGTTGGTGAGATAAAGTGAACTTTTTTTCATTCATTTTATAGTGATATGAATAAAATGTATTCAACTTATAAAGTTGTTTTGCTTTTGTTAGCAATTGGCATCTGTAATTCAAAAGCTATTAAAGTTAAATCCAGGACTCAAATAACTAAAAAGTTAAAGATACAACCAAAATGAGAAGGAGTTAGTCGAGGGTGCGGTTAAATAAATAAAAAAATTAAAATATATAAATTATTTTAATTTTTGCCGACGTTTCGACCCACTTTGCAGGTCGTCTTCAGGGCTACAAAAGATACAAACATGTTGAAAAAATAAAAATAAAATAAAAAATAAATATAAGTATATATAAAATACGAAGAAGATGTCAGATACAGAAATAAAAGATAAAGAAAATAAATACGTGATAAGAAAATAGATAAAAGAAAATAAATATAGTATTTATTTTCTTTTATCTATTTTCTTATCATGTATTTATTTTCTTTATCTTTTATTTCTGTATCTGACATCTTCTTCGTATTTTATATATACTTATATTTATTTTTTATTTTTTCTACATGTTTGTATCTTTTGTAGCCCTGAAGACGACCTGCAAAGTGGGTCGAAACGTCGGCAAAAATTAAAATAATTTATATATTTTAATTTTTTTATTTATTTGACCGCACCCTCGACTAACTCCTTCTCATATTATATCAACGGTCAACCATCTCTACATCATCATAAAACCAAAATATTCGCAACATAGAAGCTACAAGTAAAATGAAAGGTTCCTTTTTTTATCTACTGAAAAGTAGATGTATAACAACATTCTTTACTAAAACGTGGTAGTGACTACATGATAAATTATTTGTTTCTGTTTTGTTCTATTTGTTTAAGTTAGTTATTAACTTCTTTTTCTATATTAGTAAAATAGTTTAAATTAAATTTTTATTATAATATGGCCGTGAATAATACAATTCCGTTTATGAGATGCACTGTACATAATCGGAAATATTTAAATAAGTGAAGGTAAACCTTAAGAGCAACAAAAACGTTTACTTAAGCAATATGATGAAATATGAAATATTGCATGAAGTTCTATGGAGGCATGAAATGAGATCTTTACTTTTAGTTTTCATCTGTTTCGATATGATCAGTTTCTGTTATTTCGGATCTAGAACTTTTCCTCTAGAAAGCATTTAAGAAAAACTTTTTTTTTTTTTTATATTTGTTTATTTATTTAGAAATATTACATTCTGTCACATCAAGGACATTAATAATAGTGTTCAGAGATAGCACACTCACACTCTATTTACAATAAAAAAAAAAATAATACAGAAACTTAATAATAATAAATACAATAAAATAAAATAAAAATAAATACAATAAAATAAAATAAATGTATATAAACAAAAGAACTAAACTAATCATACACACTCGGGCTTGAGTGGAGGATCTGGCCATTGCCAAAACTCCAATAGATGCTTATTTACAAAAGGTCTCTGGGCCACTGCCGCTTCAACCTTCGAGGAGGATTGTAAGGATGGGTGGTGCTGGATAGAGATTGTGCAAGGGATTTGGATGATAGGTAAGGTTCTGGTGAAATTCGGAGAATTTTTCTGGAATAAGGTCTAGGACAAATGGGATATTAAGGTCATGGTGTAGGATTTTGTTATTTACATAGAACGGAGCATCAACTATTGTTCGAAGGACTTTAGATTGAAAGGATTGAATACGTTTGATGTTAGAAGCTTTTGCTGTCCCCCACAGTTCAAGTCCGTATGTCCATATAGGTTTCAGTATTGTCTTGTAGATAAGTAATTTGTTTTCAATAGAAAGTTTGGATTTTCTGTTTAGTAGTCTGTATAGCTGGCCGTATCGTCGGTTGAGTTCTTGTCTTTTGAGTCTAGTATGTGGGTTCCACGTTAGTCTTCGGTCTAAATGAAAGCCAAGATACCGGACTGTGTCTGAGTAAGGAAGCTGGATGGAATTAAAGTGTACTGGTGGACAGGAACTGCGTCGGAGTGTAAAGGTAATATGTTGGCATTTAGATTCATTAACTTTAATGCTCCAGTTATTACACCAGTGCTCAATCAAGGTGAGGTGGTTTTGGAGATTTAAGGATGCTATGTTGGGATCTGAGTCGGATGATAGAATGGCGGTCATCAGCAAAAGTTGCCAGGAAGGTATCGGGATGGATAGGGATATAGGCGGTAAAGAGGATGTAAAGGACGGGACCCAATACGCTACCTTGAGGAACACCTGCCTCAATTGGATAGCAATGCGAAAATTCAGTACCGCAACGAACTCGGAAGGTACGATCTGAGAGGTAGGAACGGAGAACAAGGTACAAGGACTGAGGAAGATAGTTTTTCAGCTTGGAAAGAAGCCCGGCGTGCCATACCCGGTCGAAAGCTTGAGCTATGTCCAGAAATGCACCCGAGCAATATTGCTTGCTTTCCAATGCTGCGGAAATATGATCAACCACTCGGAGTCCTTGTTGGACTGTAGAGTGTTGTGAACGAAATCCGAACTGATGGGAAGGAAGAGTTTGGGATTCTATAAAGGGTAGGATGCGTTTCAGGAGGATCTTTTCAAAGATTTTTGAGAGAATCGGAAGAAGGCTAATTGGTCTGTAGGACGTTGAGGTGTTGGGAGGTTTGCCTGGTTTCGGAAACAGGATAATAGTGGAATGTTTCCACAAAAGAGGAAAGTGGGTGGTTCATAGGATGCTATTGTATATGTATTTAAGGAATATGAGAGCTTTAGGAGGGAGTTGTCTAAGGATCTGAGAGGTAAGGAGGTCGTATCCAGGTGATTAACGGGTAGGTAGTTTTTGTAAGAGGAATTTGACCTCAGAAGGATTAACTGCTTTAGGCGGTAAGGAGAGTGGGATGGGTGAATTAAGGAATTTCTCTACTGCTGACGTGTGGGTGGGATTGGATTCTGGATGAGAGGTGAATGTAAGGGAAAGGTGTTTGGCGAATTCGTCGGCTCTATCTTCGTCAAATGCTGCCCAAGAGCCATCACCTCGACGGAGAGGATGTGATATATGATGGGGTTTTAGGATATGTTTGGTGGTCTTCCATAGGGAATTGTCATGAGAAGAGAGGGAAGTGAGGTAGAAGTTGAAGGATTGGGATCTGAAGCTGGCCAATTCTATCTTTAGTTTTTTGCAAAAATAATTATAGGATTGGCGATCGGTGGGGTGTCTAATAAGTTGCCATAATAATCTGGCACGGCGTTTGGTATGGATTAGGTCTATGAGGTGTTGAGGTAACTTATTTTTCTTAGGAGTTCTTGAGGAGTGGTTTGGAGAGGAAGCAGTCCAGATTGCTTGTTGGATAGTGGTGGTAAAAAAGTGTACGGTATTGTCAAGGTCATTTGGGGTTTTCAGGGTCATTCTGAGGTCAATTTTATCGGTAAGGATTTGGTGAAAGAGTTTCCAGTTAACTGGGCCTCTGATGAAGGACGGTGGAGAAGACTTAGGAATAGGAGCTAGAGATAATTCGAGTAATAATGGACTATGATCTGAGGATAGTTCGGCAAGAGGGGTAAGGGAATGATTGAGGGGACCTAAGCCACTGTGGATGAAAAAATCAAGGATATCGGGATTGCGGTTAGGATCTGTGGGCCAGTAGGTAGGTGAGTTGGGTGGAAGGAGACTGAAACGTTGGGTATTGAGTGCAGACAGAAATGTTCTGCCACGAGAATTCGTGGTTCTTGAACCCCAAACTTGATGCTTGGCATTTAAGTCTGCACCCAGGATGAAATGATGACCTAAGGAGTTGAGGAGAGAACTGAACTGGACTTTGGATATGGATCTGTTAGGAGGGCAATATGCTGATGCAAGGGTGACTGGAAAGGAGAAGGCTTTGATTACAATAGCGGTTGACTGTAGGAAATCTTGAGTAGGTAATGGGAGTAAGTGATGGGAGAGGGATTGGTGTACGATGACAGCAGTGCCGTCATGTGCTCTGCCATCAGGGTGGTCAGTACGGTATGTTAAATACTGTGGGATTTTTAAATGCTGTTTTATGGTCAGTCGAGTTTCTGTAATTAGGGCTACGTCAATGTTCTTGTCTTGTAATAAAGCTGTTAGTTCGTCAACGTGATTTCTAACACCATTCGCATTCCAAAGGAGAATGGACATGGGTTTTGGGATGTGGGTCATTAAGGATTTTTCAAAGGAGGGATGAGGTGAGATACGAGATTTGTAAGGAGTGATATGAGTGGAGTGACTAGGGATTTGAAATCGGTTAGGAAAGATGCTAACAAACTAGTGAGATCTGTTGCATTTGAAGGAGGAGGAATATGAGGAATTTGAGGTTGTTGATGATTATGTGTGTTAGGATGAACAGAATATTGAGATTGGGGCTGAGGTAGTTGCTGCGGCAGGGCTTCACATGTATTATTGGGGTTCTTACCTCCAAGTAGTTCGGAGTATGATAAATTATTGTTAACAATTCTAGAAGGTTCTCTTCTTGGTCTGGTTGTCTCATCTTGAATCCGGTTCTTCTGGTATCTGGATTTGAGGCTCTTATAGGTTTGGCAGCCTTTGTAGTTGGCCGGGTGTCCCTCCTGGCATAGTGCACACACTGCAGGATCTTGTATTGGTTTGGTGCACTCCACAGATTTGTGCTGTTCACCGCATTTCACGCAACGCGGCAGATGGTGACAATAAGTTTTCGTGTGGCCATACGCCTGGCAATTGTGGCACTGCACAATTTCCTTCTTGGGGTATGGCTTCTCTATCTTCACGATAGTGTAGTACAATCTCTTGATATCATATATTTTTTCAATGCCAGGTGATGGCTCTAGATCCACGAAAAATAAAGGTAGTGGAACTTTATTACTCACTCCTGGCTGCTCCTTATTCTCCTTCAGAACGTTGGTTACCTGACGCACTTTGAAACCAAGCGTCGCTAGTTCTTCTTTTATCACTTCAGTTGGGGTTGAGGAGTGTAAATTTCTTACCACCACTCGTAGCGATCTCTCCTGTTTCAGCTGATA